AGAAAAGGTTAATGTGGGCATTGCTCTGATCTCTGAAGAAAATCAGGTTAAAATTGGTCATAAGCCGTGGTTAAACTCATAATATCAAACGCTTAACATACAGGTTTGTCTCTATCGACAGGTTGATTCAAGATGTTTTCTTTCTTTCAATACCCACCAACACTGATGTGTCCTTGGTACAGATGCTATCTTGACAATTTCTACAAGAAATGATTTCAATGAAGATTCCAGCTCTATGTCAAGCAAGCAAGGTGTAAGATTTCATCTTATTGTTGGTCCTCAAATTTTCCAGTTTTCTCAGATATCGGGTCAAAGTGTTCCACAACAGACAGGAACAGTGATTGCTAGGTCTATTAAAGTGAGAAAGAAATGTGTTAGTACTTCGAAGATTGCGTGAAACATGCAGAGTTGCTCTGTACTGAGACAAACATACAAACATAGATCAGGTCTTATGGACAAGATTAAACTAAGGAAGCAAGTTCACCGGCCACGTGCCAACAAAGCTACAGTGCCTCCGAAGGGATGGAGGAATCTATAAAACTTAAGACATTGATGAAAAATGTAAGCCTGCCCAGAATAGACTCGACCACAAGGTCCCTTGTAAGGTGAGCTTCTGTTCTGCGGAGACACAACACCATCTTTACTACGGGTGCCTCGACGAGCACCGCGAATGATTATTCTTGTTGCTGTTGATATCTGGCCCAAGGGCTAAAGGTTAGGAGCGGATTTTCCTACTTTCGAATTACAAGATAATTGTAAGATTGTCGCAAGACAAAATGTTTTGATAAGACGTCTAATGAGAGATAAATGCTAGGCGAAAACACACTTGCCCTCCTCTCAGATGTCTAAATCAGGCTCGACCCAGCCTCCAATGGGTTTTGGATGAAGTAATTTAGTTTTTGTTGAAAGATGTCTTTTAAGCAGAGATGTGCCCCTAGAGAGGATTAAGAATGAAAAAGGGGATCTTTTCAAACTTATTATTCTCATGTCAAGTTTATTATGCGATAAAATAATTGGAATATTCAAGTTGTGTTTTCATATCTTACACGATATACTATTGATGTACGAGTTGAATATTTTAAAATGTTAATGAGTAAAGGTGAAGGTTGAACCACATATCGGGGTGCTGATACTTGTATCATGCCGAGGATTTTAGTACATCATGAAAACTATACCCCATATACTCTGAATTGTAATCTTTTCAAACTTATATCATTAAGCTTTGTAGCCCTAGAATTCATTGTGACAGTAACTTTATGTACACCTAGTGTGGAAATAAGATAGCCCAGGACTTAGATAATGTGAAAATATTTGAATAATTATTCAAGCATCATGGAATTTGAATAATGTAATGTGCATGTGAACTTAGCTATTGGTCATGAACTACATATATTCTTGTGTTAAATTGATTGATTTTTCTCAGTACCCTAATGTGTTATGTCATTGTTCCACCTGATTCAAGGTTTTTTCTGGATACCAAGAGGAGAGAGATGGATCCAAGTTTTAAGATTGAAATGACTAAACTGCATGATAAATAGATGAGGACAACATATTAAGGGTACGATGTAATATTTCAATGTCTTTGTAGTTGAACTTTGATGCAAGTCAGATTGTCTTTTTGCCTGATAATCCTAATGGAGTAAGTCTTAACCTGTAATTCCATGATGCTAATATTTTTTAATTTCTTGACATATTGTGTGAGTTTCTAATTTGATCTTGCATATAACCATGCTTGCTTTTCTGATTATTGTTTTTAAGTCAAATTGCACAATGTTGGACTTTCCGTGTAGTGGTGACAATTAAAATGCCTGTCCCAGATGTTGCATGTGTGGCCATTATGTTTGTATTTCTGAATTTTATTATTATAGGAATATGTGAATAATCATAATGCTAATAATGATGATTATGAGGAAAATATATTAAATATTTCATTTTGTTTATACTCACTCTTGATAACAATAACGGGGGTATCCTTTGAAACAGTTCTTCGTACTCGTTACTTGTATGGTTGCTATAGAAACCAGTTCTTTGCCCAACTATGACAACTGTTTGGCTTGTGTTAATGCAAGGGTGTTTCCTTACTACATTACATTGAAGAACTTAAGGAGATTGTATTCAATTGTCATGATTTTTTCTCTCCACTGTATCAAGTTTGACTTTTGCTTCACCTAGATAGAATATTGATATAAGCTGGTAACTTTAGGGACTTTGTAGCATATATTGTGATGTTTGATTTTCCTGAGATCTTCCAAGTCAACAAAGTACACTACAGCAGAGCACTTTTTGAAGTTTATGAATTGTCTGAAGGTTATTGGACTAAGATTCTGGGCAGTCCTTGTCTGTCTCGAGGAACTCCCTCCCACGTTGTTTCCTCGGGATACTGACAAGCAGGAAGAGTTAACACCCGGTGGTGTAATGACCTTAAGGATTATCTCCCCTGACAAAACCTTAAGCCCTGTCCTACTGTGGTAGGGTGTCCATGTGTCCGACACATGCTACATAGGCTGAGCCAGGGACTGCCCGACAGGTCCGGTATAGAGGTATTTTATTGATTCCTTACAGCTAGAAATCTGTATCTGTGAAATATTTAAGAAAAAACGGCAAAGGCTTGGACCAGGCCAGGGAACTGTTAGCCCAGGGTTGTCGAAAACAGTGGTACGGTTTTGTCTGTTACTGAATAAATGTTGTTTTGTGGTGAAAACAAGTGTTATCTTGTGCTGATGCTGTGAATTGCCGCCTTTTGCATACAGGAGAGGAGTTTGTGTATGTTTTACACCACAATACAGTGTTGAAGTGAAAAATAATTTATGCCTGTAAATAATCTACTCTGTATCGGGCACCCAAATAGTCAATAGCGTGAGCTATGATCTACAGTCTGGGCATGACAGGACACCCCTGGGATTCCGGGTTACAATTGTCCCCAGCAACCTATGGTGGTTGTACGAGGCAACCAAATGGATTGGATGTTCAGGCTTTGTGATTTGCTCACAGAGTCAATCACTGGATTGTCTGGTCCAGATGTGATTGTTTATAGGCTGTCGTCACAGCTGCAATAAGGCTGAGTGCGGCTTTAAGCAGCAAACAACCGGTTGAGCCATGACACATTGTAACCAATGGCCTAGTAATTGAAGGTCCTGCAATTCGCTATGCAACTCTTGTCTTGTGTGTTTCGTTAACCTGTCATGAGCAGGTTATGGTACTTTTTTCTCCAATCTGAACCAGTTATGACCATGCCTGTGTGTTTCCCCAGAGTGGTAAGATCTATGTCCAGTGTCTCTTGAGATTTCCTCACACCCCTGTGGGGATTCTGGGATAGAATTGGTCCCCATCAACCTGTGCTGGTCGTAAGAGACGATTTACTGGATCGAGTGATCAGTCATGCTGACCTGGTTGATGGTGACATCGTGGACCGTTTCTCACAATATTAATCACTGATTATTATCAGGCAGCCGCAATACTGATGGAATATTGCGGAGTTTGGCGTCTAAGAACAAAAAAACACATTAGGCTGACAGTGTAATATTACTGAAATTTCTCATCGGAGTAAAGATTTCTGATTAGTAAGAAATACTCATCACAAAGAATGAACACAAAATATTTTGTTCGATAACTTTTATCAATGCAAGTTCCAACTATCACAAGACAATGGTGCTGCTACAACAACAAACTCAAATGTATGCACCAAAAATACCCCAAGGAGGGTGGAAAGTTCACCTTGAGATAGGTTGAGGAGCATCCAAACACAACTTCCCATCATGTAAAAACACCACCCAAGGCGTTGATCAGTGATCCACCACAATGACTTTTCAAAAATCCACCACTGACAGATGGCCATACAAACTACACTAACATTTGGCACCCATGGAAGGTTGTACACATTCTGGCATCGGCCTCATTCTACCCAGAGTTTTACACGCACAAATCATAGAATGGAGGCAGAAAAAAATATATATTTGCGTTATTCATTGTACCAAATTCTTGACAAGAAATACTAGTACACAACTTACAGTAACTACACCATTTCATGACTTTACAGGACCCTCATTTCCTACAATAACCTTCGAAAATTTGCAATCTTATTAAAATCGGATCTGAGTTCTTGCTGCCGCTAAACAAAGATCTGAGGAGATCCCATTACGGGTCACATCAGAACGACCTTTCATCCAACCAATCAAAGCGTCGCTTACCAGATCATGAAAGTGACAGTCTGAATGTGTTGTCTCATCATGCAACCTCGAAAACGTTAACACAGGGTAATCCAAACGACACTTACGGCCTGTACGACGGATTCTTTCAAAATTATCGTCTATCTCTGGCTTCAGTGGGATAAACATTTGAACGGAGGATGCGTTGCACAGTATGTGGGAAGCACTGCCATACACTCTCAACCATATATTAGACATTTGGAATGTTTGTTCAGTTTTCAAAATTTTAATTGAGAACTGTGTCAACATACTTTTCAAGCGTAGTCTGAAATGGAAGTCGCCAGGTTGAAATGAGTGCCGTAAAGCTCGTGAAAGCTGCTTTCTAATTGACTGATATCGACTTCTTGTTTGTCATTTCAGTGGTTTCAAAGTTCGCAAAAGGTCATTCTGACGTGACCTGTAATGGGATGTCCTCAGATCTTTGGCGATAGCGAGAACTAAGATCTGATTTAAATGAGATTGTGAAATTTGTAACTAGAGGTCCTTTGGACCCCCAGTTTTTTAGGTCAAGGTAAGACCCTGCTACCCGAATATGTTATGAGAAACACACCATGCCATCAGTGAGTCCAACCATCCAATGCAATTAGGTGAGGTGAGGTGAGGTGAAATGGGGTTTAACGTCGCGTCCAAGATTATTGCACTTATATAGCGACGTGCATGTACGTGTATGTGTTTGTGTGGCTGCTTGTACTAGTCCGGACTGATGCCGATTTATAGTGCTAGCTCACTGCCGCAGTTTAACATGAATACTCCACTCAGACACAGCATACTGACCTCGAGCCGACCAGTCCTTGTTTTAACCCCTTAATGCCGAGCGCCAGACAGGGTAACAACAAGTACCATCTTTTAACGTCTCTTGGTATGACGTGGCTGGGGATCGAACCCCGGACCTTCCGCTCTACCACTAGACCACAGAGGCGGACTCCAATGCAATTAATGCCCTGTTGCAATCATAGGTTTCTTGGGATTAATTTTGATACAAATTCCTCACTACACAGGAGCCTGTAAATTCTCCAGTCTTGTCCAGACGACCCAGTGGTCGACAGCAAGAGCAATGATTCATGCCGTCGGTATAATGACACATTGTAGCTACCCAATTCACAAGAGTCACACGACTCCTATTGGATGAATCCATTCACACAACAGATATTGAAATATGGTTGCTCGTCTCTATTGTACCTCATGACAAAGCCCTGATAACAAATAGATTTCTTTAATACAAGGGGCGGTCGGGTAGCCTAGTGGTTAAAGCGTTCGCTTGTCACGCCGAAGACCCGGGTTCGAATCCTGACATGGGTACAATGTGTGAAGCCCATTTCTGGTGTCCCCCGCCGTGATATTGCTGGAATATTGCTAAAGGCGGCGTAAAACCAAACTCACTCACTCACTCTTTAATACAAATAAATGTTACATGGTACATCATGACTTGGGTTTGAAGACAAGAGAGGTGACAGTGTTCCCTGTTTTGCCCCCAAACTGAAATGTTGGTGTGGGTATCACAGACTCGAGAGAGAAATCTGAAACAAAAACAGAGTTGTCTTGTACTGGTAACTTAGGTCTTCACCAAAAAAGGTAATAACATACAGCATCTGTATTTCATGTCTTCCTACCAACCAAGCAGTCTCTGGAATCAAGGAAATAAACCCTCATGAAGAGAATAAAACAATAAAATAGGTGATTGGGAATAACCTTGTCTGTACTTGACAAGTGTTCATATATTACTCATATGAATGACAGATTAACTATTGTAATATGAAAGCGTCCGGTGTTCTTTAACTTTTTGTGAGAAGCATATATGACTGAAGGAGTGAGTTTGATTTAACACTGCTTTGAGTAATAATACAGTTATATCACAGTGCGTCAGCTTAATGTGGGAAGAAAGCCCGAAGTGATGCTGGTCTCCATATGTTTACCACTCTAGTGAAACCCACAAGCACGTGTATGGTGCTGACAAACCTAGGAACATAATCTGGGCGAACCGGGATTTGAACCCACAATCATAGGTTTCTGGCGTGCCCCAGTAGTATCATGTACACTGTGCATCCCAGTAAGATGACATATATGCAACACCAGGATGATCAGGGATTCAACCCACGACCACTGGATTCTGGTACACAAAGGGATGCAACTCTGCACAGCTGATTCCAGACCTCAGATAACTGGCAATGCAAGCCAACACCGACAGTTACCCCAACTGTCCTGTACATGATCAACCTCAAACAGTGTCCTTAACAAGCTGTACCTGTAGAGAAAAATTCCTCCAATTGTTCACAAGTCCAGTTACACGACGTGATCACAAACAAACCATCTGCCCGGAGGAGATGCTTGATGTTTTCCTGGTACGTCCGCCGCGCGGTCAGTGCATTGTCCGGTATGAGGCTGATGGCATCATACGTGCCCTTGTCCACACACATCTTGTAGTGACCACACCGACATGTCAGCGCCCCCTCTCGTACATCAGTGGTCAGGTCAGCTGTCTGAAATCACAATGGACATCTGGACATGTCTACATACACAGCAACTTGTCCAAAACAAACTTTGCAAACTTTATGAGGGGGATCGACGGTTACTGAGAGGGGGAAAAATAGAACATTACTGATAGATTTGTGACTATTGTTGTACTGTTCTGTTTCTGTCCTTAACAGGTGTTGGTGTTCTTTACTGCAATATAACAGATCGATGTGTTTTTTACCTCAATATAACAGCTGTTGGTGTCCTGTACCGCAATATAACAGGTCAAGGTGTTCTTTACCTCAATATAACAGGCGTAGGTGTTCTTTACCTCAATATAACAGTTGTAGGTGTTCTTTACCTCAATATAACAGTTGTAGGTGTTCTTTACCTCAATATAACAGTTGTAGGTGTTCTTTACCTCAATATAACAGTTGTAGGTGTTCTTAACCTCAATATAACAGGTCGAGGTGTTCTTTACCTCAATATAACAGGTGTAGGTGTTCTTTACCTCAATATAACAGGTGTAGGTGTTCTTAACCTCAATATAACAGGTGTAGGTGTTCTTTACCTCAATATAACAGTTGTAGGTGTTCTTTACCTCAATATAACAGGTGTAGGTGTTCTTAACCTCAATATAACAGGCGTAGGTGTTCTTTACCTCAATATAACAGGTCGAGGTGTTCTTAACCTCAATATAACAGTTGTAGGTGTTCTTAACCTCAATATAACAGTTGTAGGTGTTCTTAACCTCAATATAACAGGTGTAGGTGTTCTTAACCTCAATATAACAGGTGTAAGTGTTCTTAACCTCAGTATAACAGGCGTAGGTGTTCTTTACCTCAATATAACAGGTGTAGGTGTTCTTAACCTCAGTATAACCGGCGTAGGTGTTCTTAACCTCAATATAACAGGTGTAGGTGTTCTTAACCTCAGTATAACAGGTGTAGGTGTTCTTAACCTCAATATAACAGGTGTAGGTGTTCTTTACCTCAATATAACAGGTGTAGGTGTTCTTAACTTCAATATAACAGGTGTAGGTGTTCTTTACTTCAATATAACAGTTGTTGGTGTTCTTTACCTCGAAATAACAGGCGTAGCTGTTCTTTACCTCAATATAACAGGCGTAGGTGTTCTTTACCTCGAAATAACAGGTGTAGCTGTTCTTTACCTCGAAATAACAGGTGTAGCTGTTCTTTACCTCGAAATAACAGGTGTAGCTGTTCTTTACCTCAATATAACAGGCGTAGGTGTTCTTTACCTCAATATAACAGGCGTAGGTGTTCTTAACCTCAATATAACAGGTGTAGGTGTTCTTAACCTCAGTATAACAGGTGTAGGTGTTCTTAACCTCAATATAACAGGTGTAGGTGTTCTTAACCTCAGTATAACAGGCGTAGGTGTTCTTAACCTCAATATAACAGGTGTAGGTGTTCTTAACCTCAGTATAACAGGCGTAGGTGTTCTTAACCTCAATATAACAGGTGTAGGTGTTCTTAACCTCAGTATAACAGGTGTAGGTGTTCTTAACCTCAATATAACAGGTGTAGGTGTTCTTAACCTCGATATAATAGGTGTAGGTGTTCTTTACTTCAATATAACAGTTGTTGGTGTTCTTTACCTCAATATAACAGCTGTAGGTGTTCTTAACCTCAATATAACAGGTGTAGCTGTTCTTTACCTCAATATAACAGGCGTAGGTGTTCTTTACCTCATTATAACAGGCGTAGGTGTTCTTTACCTCGAAATAACAGGTGTAGCTGTTCTTTACCTCAATATAACAGGCGTAGGTGTTCTTTACCTCAATATAACAGGTGTAGGTGTTCTTTACCTCAATATAACAGGTGTAGGTGTTCTTAACCTCAGTATAACAGTTGTAGGTGTTCTTAACCTCGATATAACAGGCGTAGGTGTTCTTTACCTCAATATAACAGCTGTAGGTGTTCTTTACGTCATTATAACAGGCGTAGGTGTTCTTAACCTCAATATAACAGGCGTAGGTGTTCTTAACCTCAATATAACAGGTGTAGGTTTTCTTTACCTCAATAGAACAGTTGTAGGTGTTCTTAACCTCAGTATAACAGGTGTAGGTGTCCTGTACCTCAATATAACAGGTGTAGGTGTTCTTTACCTCAATATAACAGGTGTAGGTTTTCTTTACCTCAATAGAACAGTTGTAGGTGTTCTTAACCTCAGTATAACAGGTGTAGGTGTCCTGTACCTCAATATAACAGTTGTAGGTATTCTTAACCTCAGTATAACAGGTGTAGGTGTCCTTTACCTCAATATAACAGTTGTAGGTGAACCTCAATATAACAGGTGTAGCTGTTCTTTACCTCAATATAACAGGTGTAGGTGTTCTTTACCTCAATATAACAGCTGTAGATGTCCTGTACCTCAATATAACAGCTGTAGGTGTTCCGTACCTCAATATAACAGTTGTAGGTGTTCTAAACCTCGATATCACAGGTGTAGGTGTTCTTTACCTCAATATAACAGGTGTAGGTGTTCTTTACCTCAATATAACAGCTGTAGGTGTTCTTTACCTCAGTATAACAGGCGTAGGTGTTCTTAACCTCAATATAACAGGCGTAGGTGTTCTTAACCTCAATATAACAGGTGTAGGTGTTCTTTACCTCAATATAACAGCTGTAGGTGTTCTTTACTTCAATATAACAGCTGTAGGTGTTCCGTACCACAATACAACAGCTGAAGGTGTCCCGTACCTCAATATAACAGCTGTAGGTGTCATGTACCTCAATATAACAGCCGTAGGTGTCATGTACCTCAGTATAACAGCTGAATGTCCTTACCTCAATATAACAACAGCTGTAGGTGTCCTTCACCTCAATATAACATGTGTAGGTATCCTGTACCTCAATATTACCACTGAAGGTGCCCTGTACCTCAATATAACAACAGCTGAGGGTGTCCTGTACCTCAACATAGCAGATGTAGGTGTCCTTCACCTCAATATAACATGTGTAGGTATCCTGTACCTCAATATTACCACTGAAGGTGTCCTGTACCTCAATATAACAACAGCTGAGGGTGTCCTGTACCTCAACATAGCAGATGTTGGTGTCCTGTACCTCAATATAACAGACGGTGCTGTCCTGTGCCTCAATATAACAACATCTGTAGATGTCCTGAACCTCAATATAACAGACGTTGGTGTGCTGTACCTCAATAAAACAGGTGTTCCTCACTATAACAGCTGAGGGTGTCCTGTACCTCAGTATAACAGCTGTAGGTGTGCCGTACCTCAATACAACAACAGCTGTAGGTGTGCCGTACCTCAATATAACAAATGCAGGTGTCCTGTAGCCCAGTATAACAACTGTAGGTAAACTGACCTCATATTTGATGTCTGCCATTCCTTCTTTGTCTGCGATGTTGCGAGCGAGTTGTACTGCAGTCTCGGAGTAGTCAACGCCAGTCAGGTCCCTGTACCCCTCTCTGTGCTGAAACACCAAACCTTCATGTTGGTGGAAATAACTCAACATAAGACCCTGGTATCGACATTGAGAAAAATTTCTATTTTATACAGAATGCACAGGCTCAGTCTACTTCAAGGACTGTTGTTTCCATCAGGTTCTTGAAGGATGGAGCTGATGTTTTCATTTATCATATACCCGTGAAGATCCGGGGTAAATAGGTCTTCAGCAACCCACGCTTGCTATAAAAAGCGACTCTGCTTGTCGTAAGAGTCGACTAACAGGATCGGGTGCTCAGGCTCTCTGACTTGGTTGGTGCATGTCATTGCGTGGATCGATGCTCATGATGTCAATCCCTGGATTGTCTGGTCCAGACTCGATTATTTACAGATCCCCGTCAAATAGCTGGAATATTGCTGAGTTTGTTAAACAACAAACAGACAAACAAAAACATTTATACTATTGTACACACGGGGTTTGTTAAATCATATGAATACAATGTGTGAAACTTCGTCTAGGTGTCGCCTGTTATGGATGGAATATTACAAAGCCTGATTGACTCACTCACTTATGCATGGAGTCTCCACCTACCAGCTCAACCAGCATCATGCCGTTGCCACAACCCAAGTCCAAGATGGCGTCCTGTGTGTCCACATCCTCGCAGTCCTCCTCCAGCCATCGGACAACCCGCATCTGACTCTCCTCGCCAAACCTGCACGCGAAGTGAACATGTAACACAACAGTAGAGGTTTGTGAACACAGAAAAACAATAGAATTACCACGTGAACACGGGATAACACAACAGCAGCCCAATGTCAACGTGAATAAAAAGAGCAGCGCCATTTGATAACGGAATAAAAAAAGAAACGCCACGTGAACAAGGAAAAACAACAGCAGCGATGTGAACAAGTAGTAACAGCAGTGACATGTGAAAATGGAATAACAACTGCAGAACTATGTAAACACAGAATAAAAGCGGCGCTATGTGAACATGGAATAACACAACAGCAGTGAGCATGGAATAACACAACAACAGCGACATCTGAACATGGAATAACAACAGCAGCAGCATGTGAACATGGAAAAACAAATGTAGCAACATGTGAACACAGAATAACAAAAGCAGCAACATGTGAACACAGAATAACAAAAGCAGCAACATGTGAACATGGAATAACGACAGCAGCAACATGTGCACATGGAATAACACCACAGCAGTGACAAGTGAACATGGAAAAACACAACAACAGCGACATGTGAACATGGAATAACAAATGTAGCAACATGTGAACACAGAATAACAAAAGCAGCAACATGTGAACATGGAATAACAACAGCAGCAACATGTGCACATGGAATAACAACAGCAGCAACCGGTGAACATGGAATAACAACAGCAGCAACATGTGAACATGGAATAACAACAGCAGCAACAAATGTAGCAACATCTGAACACGGAATAACAGCAGCGATATGTGAACACAGAAGCAACATGTGAACACAGAATAACAGCAGCAACATGTGAACAGCAGCTTCTGATCTATCACTGGTATTTTGATGGGACACAGGTTTTAAAAGGGAGTTCATATATTCCCAGATTAAGTAAGTTAAATATATACATGTATATATCAAAATATTCACAGCAGTCTTTGCTGAAAGCTGTTGAGACGATTAGCCCAAGCCTGTCTAATGACACTATTTTTTCAGTAGATCTCAATATTAATGTACAGACTTGAATGTCAAAGCTTACCAGACTGAAAGACAATTTACCAGACTCAGGCTACGGACTAGTGGCTAAAGTCTCAGAGCTGTCAACACAAATTAGACAACAGCAGCTGAGATAATTGCCATGGCCAGCAGCGAAGAGTCCTGTGCAGGTCAGCTGCCTGTGATACAAGTTAGAGTTGGCCACTGAAGCATGGCATTGTGGATGAGATGAGGAGTACAGCAGGCTGACCATACAGGTATGGCTTGTATATGTGGCAGACTGATAGAGACTCCCCATATGATTAAATGTAGAATGCCTTGTAGAGGTCAAGGCTTGACCCAGGGACAGCATCTATGCAGGTTCGCTGACTTACGCCTCACAGATGCCACCTGGTCAGTGCTGTTTCATCATTATAATGTAGTTGTATTTAATTTGACATAACGCAATAAAAATGTTGTGCACCCACTGATGGACTCCTGTGTTTGAAGACCAACAAACAAATGTAACTTTTTAACCTGGGATATTTGTCACAAACAATTGCATGATTAATTCTTATCACACAACTGTCCTCACCATATATATCACACAACTATCCTCACAATGAATTACATAACTGTCCTCACCATTTATATCACACACCTATCCTCACAATGAATTACATAACTGTCCTCACCATTTATATCACACAACTATCCTCAAAATGAATTACATAACTGTCCTCACCATTTATATCACACAACTATCCTCAAAATGAATTACATAACTGTCCTCACCACATATATCACACACTTGTCCTCACCATTTATCACACACTTGTCCTCACCATATACCAAACATATCACACACTTGTCCTCACCATATATCACACACTTGTCCTCACCATATACCAAACATATCACACACTTGTCCTCGCCATACACCAAACATTTCACACACTTGTCCTCACCATATATATCACACACTTGTCCTCACCATATATCACACACTTGTCCTCACCATATATCACACACTTGTCCTCACCATTTATCACACACTTGTCCTCACCATTTATCACACACTTGTCCTCACCATATACCAAACATTTCACACACTTGTCCTCGCCATACACCAAACATTTCACACACTTGTCCTCACCATATATATCACACACTTGTCCTCACCATATATCACACACTTGTCCTCACCATATATCACACACTTGTCCTCACCATTTATCACACACTTGTCCTCACCATATATCACACACTTGTCCTCACCATTTATCACACACTTGTCCTCACCATATACCAAACATTTCACACACTTGTCCTCACCATATATATCAACACTTGTTCTCACCATATATCACCCACTTCTGCAGAGTTGTTATAGTTGTCCAAGTCTCGGATGTAGACATCATCCCAGCTGGAAGAGAAGGAACAGAATTATCAATATTTCAGCAATATCATGGCAAGGGACACCAGAAATGGGCTTCACACATTATAACCATGTGGGGAATCGAAGCCGGGCCTTGGGCATGACGGGGGAACACTTTAACCACTAGGCGATCCCACTGCCCCTTCCAAGTATGACACCCAAGTCTTTATGACTATTTACAGAACTGATTTCTTTTCCATTGAAATATAGTTGTAGACCATTCCAGAGTCCTTGACTTTCTATGAACCTTACCAATTCAATGCCCCACCCAAGGAAACATGCCACCCATTTCATCCTACCACAGTGAACACTTCTTGAACATAATATAATTGTGAGTGTATAACCTTGAGAGTGAATTTGATCTTGAACATCAGTGAAAAGTATTTCAAGAAAAAAACATTTCAAAGGCCTATCCAGTATATACACCATATGTGGCACATGCATCTCATTGAAAGTAGGTCACAGTGACCTACCACTGATATCATTAGATTGGTCGCTATATGGCTGAAATAACGCTGATGCAATGATAAATTTTAACTCACTTACTATCATTAGACTTCCATCATTTGTCATAAATAAGTATTCAAATGATATAACCACTCGACGTACATGAAACTGAAAACAATTCTGCAGAAGAAGGCATTTAGTAAATATGACAACCAAACTCTATGTCACCCACAACCTATTCAGACCTGGAGTTTGGCCTTAAGATGACATGTACTAAGTTTCATTCACCTACAGTACACCATTCTCAAGTGGTTGGTTGGTTTGTTGTTTAACGCCGCACTCAGCAATATTCCAGCTATATGACGGCGGTCTGTAAATAATCGAGTCTGGACCAGACAATCCAGTGATTAATATCATGATCATCCATCCACGCAATTGGGATACGATGACATGCACCAACCAAGTCAGCGAGCCTGACCACCCGATCCCGTTAGTCGCCTTTTACGACAAGCTTTGTCACCTTTTACGGCAAGCATGGGTTGCAGAAGACCTATTCTACCCCGGAATCTTCATGGGTCCATTCCCAAGTGGAGGCAGTAAACAAACTTTTTTCAGGCTTTGAATTAGAGGATGACCTTGACCTTTTACATATCACTAAGCCAAATTTCCCACATGATGTGATATCCCCGAGATATCTCCAGTCACCTACTTTTGATATCAAAAGCATGTCATCCCTTGTCATACGTAAGTATTCAAACAATATAACCCCTACAGCCATAAGACTTCAAAAGGTGTTGTAGTGAAAATGGCAAACATGCTTCATGAACCTTCACTGTGACCTTGACCTCTTATATAGGTCACTCACAACCTATTCAGATCATAGCCACGCCCAAAGTACCAAGTTTCACTGACATATTGTAAATGCTTCTGGAGTTCTTGAGGATGACCTTAAGGATGACCTTGACCTTTAATGACTGGTCAATGTGTCAAAACCATTCTGAGGTTTCTTGAAACTATCAGGCCATCACTGTCACGAGCCTGCATCTGGGAATCAGTCTTTCCTTCAACATGTTATGGACACCTAGCCCCATAAAACCTAATATTGGATTGTGTAATATATATACTGTAAATCTTGAAATTAACGCGAGCGTGAATTAAATTTAAAAAATGTGAATGGTCTTTGCTCGCATTATTAACTTGGCATTTATGTCTTGAAATGACTATCAACAATAAGAAGGCCTCACTGCGCACTGAGGATAACAGAAATATCAACTTGAATATAAACACAAACACGGCTTATTGAGCAGCAGTTGTAACAGGTATATTACAATGTCATTCACTGAATAAGAATTACACAATGGGCATCCGAGGAGTTATCACTGATGGGGTCAAGAGTTCTACCCACTCGAGTCAAGATTGTTGACACCTCCTCTGCATACCAATCAGTGAACTGTTGTTGGTTCAATTATTTTATTGCCTTTGAACTTCCTTAATGCCAGTCAACCGAGTAAACATATAAACTGTATGTTGTTTTTAGGAAAACACTGTTTATTGTTATTACGGAAGTGCTCTACTCAGTGTTAATAAACCATGCTATTTGCTGTTTGATGGGATTAAGGTAAGGATATGTATCATTCCGCTGGGGATGGGGTGTGGGGAGTCGCATTGATATCGAGTCATATTTTTGGTTAGGGGTCATCAGTCGTATTAATTTGGAGATACATTAATTTCCAGATTTACATTCTATATATAAATATGTATATGCCTCTAGTTCAGCAACCATGGCACAGACTCAGGACACAGTGTGTTAATCAACTGAGGAAGTCGTTCCTGTCTTTCCTTGTTCCTCACCACTGTCGCCCAGACACCACTCGCCAAACAATGCCTTCACACTAACAGGCACACTGAACAGGCGGACATCAATCAAAGTAAACTGGTCTTCAACATAACAGTGATTGAAATGGGGTTTAACGTTGTATTCAAGATTAGTGCATTAGTGCCGCAGTTAAAGATGAATACCCCACTCCAAGCCGACCTGTCCTTGTTTTAGCCCCTGAAAGCCGACCGCTAGGGACGGAGTGAGGGAAGGAGAGAGACAGACTATTGATGTCATGTTGGAGTGGCCTGTTGATATCATGTGGGAGTGACCCTGTAGATATCATGTGGGAGTGACCGTGTTGAAAGCATGTGGGAGCAACCCTCTTGAACCCAGGTCTTCAGAGTGACGAGTGAACGCTTTAACCACTAGGCTACCCGACGCCCCTATCATGTGGGAGTAACCCTGTTTATATCATGTGGAAGTGACCAGTCGATATCATGTGGGAGTAACCCTGTTGATATCATGTTGAGCGACCAGTCGATATCATGTGGAAGTGACCCTGTTGATATCATGTGGAAGTGACCAGTCGGTATCATGTGGGAGTAACCCTTTTGATATCATGTTGAGCGACCTGTCTATATCATGTGGAAGTGACCAGTCGATATCATGTGGGAGTAACCCTGTTGATATCATGTGGGAGCGACCCTGTTGATATCATGTGGGAGCGACCCTGTTGATATCATGTGGGAGTGACCTTTAGATACCATGATGGAGTACAAATTGAACAATTAAAGTTTTTCTGAAACAGCATAATCAGTATTGCAATTCTGAATCTATGTTATACCTTGAAATATGTGTTTGATGTTAATGAAAGGGACAGGACCTAGAGGAAATGACCAGTACTTTAAAAAAATATCCAATTAATTGGAAACCATGGCTATTATTGACTGAATGTCTCCAATAGAAACTTCCCATTTCCATTGTCACAGGTGTTTTATTGGAGGAAGCATGGTAGATTTGACAAGGCCTGATAAGTTAGGAATGTCATCGACAATGACAATGATGATTCACCAGTACATGTGAACAATGTGATACCATAGACAGGTTTATGAAAGCCATGATTGTGTTAAGATCATAAACAGTTTCACTAATACTTAAAATTAACGTACCCACAAGTTCCCAAGCCATTTGCCTTTTAGTATTGTTGGATCATACGTTTTCAGACGGCATATGTTTTCGGATGGCAATGTTTATCGCAATTACTCGCGCCATAACAAGGGGTGTGGTGTCATACAGACACACATCAGATGATGGCCTGTTTTTAAGATAGAGTTGTCTTTTATAAGTGAGTGAGATGTTTTACAGTTGTTCTTGTGATTAAGGAGAAAATTCTAAATGTTTCTTAAGCGTCCAAAAACCCATAACATGGGGATACAACAAATCTGTATATTGAAAATGTGTTTTACATGTGAAAGTCCTGTAAATTGACACTAGGGAATTCTACAGCATAATAGATCAAAGTGCACCCCCATTAGGACTATAGGAGCAGTATGGAGCAGTGATCAGCTGGTGACAATGGAGTCCCTATACACCCAACAACATGGATACTTGCATCTGTAGTTTTGACTTTGCTTACTCTGAAGTAAAGTAAAATTACATTCGCTTTAATAGAGGACTAAAACAAATAGAACTGCATCTGCCCCGCCCACCTTCAAGTTCGTGTTGGGCATACCTCAGTGTTCATATCAGTATTCTGTTTTCTCAGATTATGAGAATATACTACAGTAACAGCGTGCAGGGTGCAGCACATCACATGCCCGTCGACGTCGAGTCTCTACCTATCACCAAAGTACAACGTGTGACAATGACAAGATGACTTCACCTCCACACATAGCATACCATGTGATCGACCACATGGTTAATCTATTTTTAACTGGAGCCGCGGGGTGTTGTGCGTCACAAAAATTCATAGAGCGCGTTAGAAGTTATTACAATTGTTTTGTTCCCAGTTCTGAAGACTGAAAGTCTCTGTCATCGCCCGTGACATCACTAGCCTGCGTCCCAGTGTTTGGTTCCATGTTGAAGATCATTACAGAGAAACGGAAGTAGCAGACAGCAGTGTACTAGCCGGTAGGCAACTCATTCTAATACTCAACAACCATCAGACAATTCATCTTGTTACCTTTTTACCGCTGTTTTCCGTTAATTCAATCAACAATATTAAATTATATCAGATGTCATATACATACCTGTTATATATGATTCCACCTGGCATCGGGTTCTCTTTTATGAGATGTAATTAGGAACTGGTAATTTATTGGGGGGTGTGGGGATGCCATTGTCATGAAAAAGTCGCCAAAATTTTTCACAAGGGGTAAGGAGGTTGGGAGAGATGAAAAATTACAGAGTTCTATTGTTTCACATATTCTTTAAAATTACAAATCTAAATGTTAGTGAGGGAGTGGTAATGTAGTATATTATTAAAACATTACATCATTAAATCGGCAAAATATGATACAGTCCTTAGAGGCCAATCTCCAATCACCCCTCGCCATCACCCTCCACCCATCAATCTTTCTCCTCTAAAGTGCACGTGCGAAGAAAGCCGTTCATCAGTCTTTCTTCGTGCATTGCGGCTTGTTAAAACGCCGAGTCTATATCAGTCGTACATATAACGTAGACTCTGAAACAATACATGGATTATATAATCTACTCCTAGATCAGATCATGAATGGTGTTGATTGCCTGTTTATTTCTGCTGTTACCAGCAGCTGAAGGAACGTTTGGCCGTGCAGTGAGACGTTTGAGTGCGTGTTGAAGTCGTTAGTTTAAAAACGGACAAAAGTAAATAGGTTGGTGAAGCTAAAGATTGTATTTCACAATGAATAAATGTGAACAATTGTTGTCACAAAGTCTTTGACGGATAGTTAGAAGAGCATGAAGACCTAACACTTTCATTGATAACATATTAAATTCTTTATTGTTTGCAATAAAGTATTTGTTTGTTTCAAACAATAACAAAACGTTAACCATAAACGTTTTACATCTTCAATCATTGGTACAGATGGAAAGTTCATAAATATTGGGAGTTGCGTCCCTTGGGGACGCCAGAAACCTATGATTGTGGGTTCGAATCCCGGTTCGTCCCGATTATGTTTCCAGGTTTGTCGGCACCATACCCGTGCTCGTGGAATTCACCGAAGTGGTAAACGTCTGACACCTGCATCACTTCGGGCTTTCCTCCGACATTAAGCTGACACGCCGTGATATAACTTGAATACTGTTAAAAGCGGCGTTAAACCCAACTCACTCACTCACGAATATTGACTTCCTTTGTTACACATTAACTTACAACAGTGGTGTTACGTACCCCTTCTCACGGATTCTTGTGATGTCCATGGTGGTTTGTCCCGAAATGGGAAAAAAATAAAAGATAAAATCAATTTTAATATTAAAAAAAACAACTATTATTTCATTGAAGCCGTTATCAGTGCATCATCATCTATAGTGACTCACTCTGTTGTATTTATTCAGGAATTTCGGGACAGTTGGATTTTATTTTTCATGATATAACGCTCGGCAATATGTTTAAAAGATGTTTTCAATGTGTTGGTTATTATCCTAGCATCATATTGTTGTTTACCAGTTTTACTACGTCGTGTATCAACTTTTGTCGCCTTGACACAATGAAATCAATAGATAACTCGTGATGGTGACTGGCGCATAGGATTTGTCGTATGAATGTAGTATATAACGGAGTTGTGGGTAAATGACGTAAATGATCACGAGACTTCTCGCCATTTTGTGGAGGGTGTTTATTTCTGTGGATGAAGTTCTGATCTAAATTACACTGCGGAGATCTTGTGGTAAGGGTGTTGATTTATGGACTCTGTAGTTTGTGATGATTCCATAATTCTTATGAAAATGGGCAGAATTAGTTTGTATTTTTGACACATAACGATTTAGTGTTTGATTTAAAAAGTGGGAGGTTTTGATAGAGATTTGTGAACCACTGAATGTAATATTTCTGATATGAGGTGGTTATCATGACCTGTCAACAGAGGTGACCACTAATATTGGCAACTCTGTATCGAAAGGTGAATGTATTTGTGCCGATTACAACTGCTTAGTGGCAATAGTCGACAAGGATATAGTTTGCGTATGTTACAAATACGACTCCGGGCACTTCTTGAAACAGACAACTCAACCTTGTATTGTGGCCTACATAATGCGTTGTTTATAAAGAAAAAAAATGGTGCCAATCACACAAATACTCATCAGAGTCTTCGGAAAGATATTGATATTTCCGTAGCAGTATGGTATGGTGATAAGGTTGTCAAAGTGTGTATTGTTATCTGTTCCATTTTCTTTGATTAACCATGTTAACGTGAGCTTCATCATGTGACTTATATGAACCGAGGCTGAAAAATAATATCTGAAATAAAACTGAAAAATGATTTGGTTACTCTTAATTGTTGACTGTATGGTCATTGATGGTAGACCAGACAATTAACATTATCTTCATCAAGTTCATAAATTACATTCAGGCAGTCAGTGACTTGCCCTTACTAATTGGCTTGGACTTACTTCCTATTTGGATGACTTTAAACTGTACTGTGGTGATGTCCATTTATATAATATTACGACCACATGGGGGCACAGGTGGCCGAGTCACCTAAGGTGCCGTGATTCACTGTGCAGAGTTGCGTCCCTTGGGCACGCCAGAAACCTGTGATTGTGGGTTCGAATCCCGGTTCGCCCCAAAAATTTTAGGTTTGTCAGCACCATACCCGTGCTCATGGGTTTCACCGAAGTGGTAAACGTCTGAGACCTGCATCACTTCGAGCTTTCCTCCCACATTAAGCTGACATGCCACGATATAACTGGAATATTGTTAAAAGCGATGTTAAACCCGACTCACTCACTCATTATGACCACAGAGGTCCATACCGAGAGAGGCCTTACTTATTGTTTGAAATCGTGTAGTTTTAGGGTCACCACACAGAATATAACACTGACAGAAAGTGGTACGTCATATTTCTCATATAAATAAAATACATATACTTTATCGTCACTGGCTCAAGATACATGAACGTATTGACTTCAAACTCCTGGTTGACTTATCAATGCATTCATGGGAATGCTTCCAGATATGTTCTCACGCTGTAGACCTGCCTGTGCACTTCGATCAAGTGACTGGGACGGCAGGAAGCCTGGTGCTTAAAGTGTTCACTAATCACACTGCAGGCCCGGGTTCGATTCCCCACGTGGGTAGAATGTGTGAAGCCAGTTTCTGGTGTCCCCAGCTGGGATATTGATGGAATATTGCTAGAAACAAATGGCATAAAACCATACAAACTCACTAGATGAAGTGACAAGCTCCTACTCAACTTCTCAATCTTTCCAGTATGCTGTTGCTTCACAATGCAACACTCTTCCACATTGCCTGAAACCAAATCACACTGTGTCATCTTTCAAGTAAAGACTAACAACACATCTCTTTCGACGTTACCATTTAATATTCATTCAAATATTTCTCTTGTTATTTTGTATATCGTCGGATCATGTTTTCGCACATCATATGTTTTCGGACGGTCATGTATATTGCGAATACTGCCGCTATAAGTATAACGAGGGTTGTGGCGTGACACTGACGGAAGTTGTAATTATGGCCTTTTTAAAGATATATTGTCTTTTATAAATGAGTGAGATGTATTACTGTTGTTCTTGTAAATAGCAAGAAAACTACAAATGTTTCATAAGGGTCTGAAAACCCATAACAGAGATATATAGCATACCGCTTGTGGTGTGTAGGTATGACCCTCAAGATATTATTATTAAGGACTTAACAATGTTGATCAATGTTTTTTAATATCCCAAACTGGCTTACCCCAGGAGATACTACTTAGTGACAATCAAATGACATCATTGAACTCTCTGCCTCTGAAACTGGTCAGCTGTACTGTTTACACTGGTTATTACTGTTTTCAAACTAAAAAAGTTGGAAGAATTATTTTGGATGATAAATAAAATCCCTCCCGAGTGTCTTTTGATATCAAATATATCAATGTTTACATGAGTTGATAAGAGTTTAAAACTCTGATACATCAGTACATGGAGACTCGCTGTGTTTTCCTCAAATATAGCTTCAGTGTCATGTTTTCATGGACACCTGAGATTGTTACCCTCAGCATCACATTTAGCAAAGGTTCAGTTTTGATCGTACAGTATATCATGATATTGATGTATTGGTAGGGGGCACGGGTGGCCCAGTTGTCTAAGGCGCCGCAATTCACTGTGCAGAGTTACGTCCCTTGGGCACACCAGAAACCTATGATCGTGGGTTCGAATCCTGGTTTCGCCTCGATTATGTTTCTAGGTTAGTCAGCACCATACCTGTGCTCGTAGGTTTCACCGAAGTGGTAAACGTCTGAGACCTGCATCACTTCGGGCTTTCCTCTCACATTAAGCTGACACGCCGTGATATAACTGGAATACTGTTAAAAGCGGTGTTTAACCCAACTCACTCACTCACTCACTCACTCACTCACTGATGTATTGGTAAATTTCTAATATTGAATCTGTGTCGATACAAATTTATGAATATCAAAGCTAGATTGATATTTTATTGCAACAGAAATGTTTACATTTATCAAGGTTGCAATGGTTAAGATGGACTATGAAGAGGCAGAAAATTAAATTTTAAACTTTTAGTCAGTTAATCATGTTAATGAATCAAGCTAGATCATATTTCACATTAAAATCAATAATTGCAGCTCTGCATAAATGGATAGGAATGTTTTATCGATACACATACAGAATAGCTAATTTTATTATTAATTGATACATACTACTACTCTTGAGCCAATATATCAATACTTAAATTTCCAATCAATGACACCCCTAGTTTGTATGTTGTTGCTAAATGGAACAATAGGTGATGACCCTATTTTGTTTATGTTGATTATTGATGTTAAATGTTAGGAGTAAGACTTTAGTCAAAAGAAAATGTTTGATAAACAAAATGTCGGGGTGGGTACTCAAGATCCTGACACAAGGGTTACAAGGAAATATCTGATGTTATAAAAAGTGCTTGAGATTTTTGTTCTTTTTCTACATTTATCTTGAAATGTCTTTCATTGTAATGTAAAGTAGATTTTTTATACAGGTTTCTTTTGTGGACAGTTACAAATTAAATCGGTATAGTTATACATGCATGTGTCTCCTGCATATTGTGTTGTCATCATGATCATTATCAATTTTATTGCAATATGGTTATGCTGTCATCACAATGACACTGCGTTAAGAGTTGTTGTTTTTTCTAGACATTATTCAACTCTGTTGGAACATGGATAAGAGAAAGTCCCCAGCACTTGTTGTAAGAGGCAGTTGACTTGGATCAGGTGTCCGGCTCTGTGACCTGGCTGATGATATCAGACCAAGGCAGTGTCAGATGGTGTTAATTTTTACAGGCCATGCTATTGTTCTGAATGTGTTGACTGCGTCCTACAAATCAGGGCTCAATTAATAGGACTTATTTAAGTTGCACCAGGTGCATGCTGACATCCAAACCAAGTTGCACCAAACAAAACCATCAAGTTGTCAAACGTAGTCTGGTCTGCTGCCAGAGTCATTTACATTCATGATGCATTGCTGTAAAACATAATAGGAACATAAGCACGCAATCTTGAAGTACCCACTGTTTGATGAAGAAAGTATGACAAATTACACATGACACAGGGATTAGTGATGTAGTATGGTAAATACGTTTTAGAGAAATTGAGTGTGTTCAAAATTGATTGTGTGTGACAAGCAAGGGTTAGTCAAACATAAACTTTTAAATTGTTTAACATGCATGTGGTAAATATTATGTTGCATTTTTAAATAATAGGTTGCACTGGTGCATATTTTATATAGCTAAATCGAGCCCTGCAATGTGTAAACATTGTCTTCTATGTAAATGTTTCTATGTAAAAAGTTATAATCAAGAAACCGGTCCCCGGCAATTTCTTTGGGTCATTATTAAGTTATCTTTGACCTTGTTAATTTAACTGAAATGGTAGGTATAGTCAGATGATTGCAAGGTTTTTAACCAAAGAAAATCCTGTTATAATTGGTCTTCAAACAACCCATGCCTGTCCTAATATGCGAGTAAAGTGATTGGGTGGTCAGGCCCGCTGACTTGTTTGACAAACATACAAACAAATGGGTTATTTTCCTAAATACTGAGTTATTTTATCATTGCATTCCGTACAATATTGTATTACTAAGCATTCAGAATCTTCCTGTTTATAGGTCCTGTTATCTGTGAAATGCAAGGCACCTCTACAAAGCCATCACACTTGAATAACAATATCAACATGGATTGGGACATCTTTTTATCCCATTTTGGGAATGTCACTGACTTCTGCTGCAGTCAGCCCAGCTTTGCACTCAATCTCTCAATCAATAAATAATCTCTGAGAGCTGTGATTAGGGATTAATTCTGTCACAATAATCATAGGTTGGTGCTGCACAGTTGATCAGCATCCTTGTAGGGTGAACATCGTCTGCAGTCTATACTGGGTCTAACATGTCTAGCAGCCCCAAATTGTCTCTTATCAGACTAAGACTAGTTAGAGTTCAGATTAGCTGCTAAAGTTGCAGACTGATCCTATTGCTACCCAGTTGACAGTATTTTGTCTGAATATGTATGTTCTGGGTATGATGTAAAATATTGTATCATGAAGTGGTGGAGGGGACATTTTGAGTTGAATACAGCTCTTTTTTATAAAACAAGTGATCCTTCCAGATAGATACAATAGTCCGGACTCGTACCCAGAATGTATCCCCAGTCTGCGATTTAGCCACTTATGAAGCCAGTGTCTAGTTAAATTCTATTTGGTCTAATAAATATCCATATAATAACACCAGAGTCTTCTGCAAATGATGCTAAGAGCCATGTCTGGGCTAGTAGCCTCTAAAGGTTTGGGCACTGACCATGGTGACTATCTCTGTTAGATATGGCACTATGTTGCTGGTAGATGTGAGTTTGTGTAGTACCGTATATGACCGCGTATAAGCCGAATTTTGAGGACCAGAAAAAAGATTCTGTAGAGTCGGCTTATCCACGGGATACACATTCATGATAGTATTTTTCAGATCGTGATCTGTCAGAAACATTGCCTGAATGACGGTCCGATAGATTACAACTTCCCGAAAGTTTGGAAGTTGCCACGACTGGAGCCATTATTGTTATAAATTATCAATAAAGTTATTATTATACACCAATGTTGTCATTATTAAAAAAATGTTATGCATGTTACTATTTCCGATAAGTTTTCAATTGAATGTTCAAAGTTTATCGTTCTTCATAAACTCCACAATCTTTACATGTAGATATCTAACAATATATGTAATTCACAGCTATAATATATAATCCCCAGATGAAATCGCCAATAGCTATTACGTACGTTTTGCAAAGTTTATAAATTGATAGTGAACAAGTGTCTACCTTTATTGAAAGAGGCAAATAAACAACTGTATCGGCGAGTTATTCCGTTTGCCATTTGCAAAAACATGTGATCAGCTGTTTCCTGTGACGTCACAAACGGTGACCACTGTGATTGCTTCCTGTTTTAAAAAAGCAACACGGTACACACAAGGAAATGAGCACTGATAATAACGGGCCGATTGGTATTGTCATGTTGTTTACACAAACATTTTCAAGTTGTGGGTGCTTAGCGATCGTGTTGGGAGTAGGGGCTTAATTCCTTTGTTTTCGAGAGATTAGTTTAATAAACTGGAGAAGCCTGTGAGTAAGTGATGGTCATTCAATGTGTTCATAGTATATTTTTTCTGACTGACACACTGATGGATCCTAAAATCCTATCAACAACAGTGCTGGTTACGGGATCCATATCCACAGCTCCAAACCCCAAGCACATTCAGTTCGCTTCCTGGTGAGACAGTATTCACAGCTGAATTGGAGGCAATTCATCATGCACTTAAACTCATTCCGGAACTTCCGGAAGCAAAGGCAGTCGTCCTATCAGACTCGCTAAGTGCACTTCAGGCCATCAGTGGCAGAAACTCAAACTCCAGGCCAAACAAAGTCAACAATATTCTATACGAATATACAAAACTATCGGACCAAGGGCAACAGGTGGAGCTGTGTTGGATCCCCTCTCACATAGATATTCATGGTAATGAAAAAGCAGACTCACTGGCGAAGCTAGCTCTAGACAAAGCAGATATACAGCCTATTCCCTTTAGTAAACTAGAGATAAAAATCAAAATCAAAGCCTCCATAGCAGAAAGATGGCAAGCCCAATGGGACGCAAGTAAGATCGGCAGATGGCTATACAAAATTCAACCCAAGGTCCAACAAAAGCCAAACTCATACTCAAATGAAAGGAAAATTGAAATTGCTATCTCACACCTCAGACTTGGTCACAAAAAGCACTATGACAAGGTTTGTTCATCTTGCAATCAGGCTGAAACCATTGATCATGTGTTACTAGAATGTCAAGACCATGCCCCAGCCCGGGCTAGGTTAAAACAAGAATTGCAGTGAGAACCGCTATCTGTCATAGATCTCCTCAAGCCAAGAGATGCAAAAGCGAAGGCCAAACTAACTCTATTTCTGAGAGATGGACAGCTACTCGAACGTATATAAACAGAGCAGCCAAGGATAGAAATGAAATCATATCAATACAAAAACAGAAATTATGTGAACACCAAACTCACAATAGATAGGTGTACCCTACTCACACACAGGAGTCCCAAAGAGGGACAGGTCAGCCGAAATTGCCTAGGCAGAAGGCGACCTCCTAAACACTTAATGCAACAACAACACTGACTGACATTCTCATCATGAGTTTGAAACGAAAAACGCCATGCTTACGATGCTGAATTAAAACTGCGAGTCTTTGATTTAGCTGATATATTTTCTCACGGGTTCATAATTCTATATACACCGATTCACAAAATGGCGCCTCGTTGATGGCAACATATAACGATCATTATGAGATTTAAAAAACCCAAGAGAAACGGCTTCCCACATTATGAAAGTGGATGACTGGTTTGTTAAATCTTTATTAGAAATAATAATGACTTTTTCAATATAATTACAAAAATTTTCATCTTATATTTTTGAATATCTGCGAGTTCTGGCACATGTCTTGCAGTCCAACTTCGCAGTGTTTTTTGCCTTTCACTTCCTGGTTCGGCTTATCTGTGGGTCATATCACTTTCTTTCGTATTTTAATGGTCAAGTTAACACCTCGGCTTATCTACGGGGTCGGCTTATCCGCGGTCATATACGGTACCTGTTGCCAACATGGCACTTTCTGAGATAGGGTTGTCAACATGTCATCAAGTGAAGATTTGCCATCAAATTATTCTTTTCTTTTGCCAGGAAATGAGCTTAAAAGGGCTGGAATGGTTATCCACTTTCTGGAAAGACATTGAACTTGGGTTGACGTAATTGAATCTTTTTGATAAAATTAAGGTTTATGTATTTTGGGATTTGTTCTTTCTGCTTCATTGCGTGCAGGTGAATTTTGTGGTGTTACGTACCTGCCTGATCTCTGGAGTAGGTGTGCAGATCTGACTACTTCGACATTCCTTGATAGTTTCAAGTATGGATTTTTCAATTGGAGATTTGTCCAGATGTTTTTGGGGGGGACAGTGCATCAATGTCAAATATCACTGATTAATTACTAAGCTGTTGCCCAAGGCTGATCTTTTTGAAATATCATAACTAGTTTTTATTATTTTTCAGGTAGCCACGTACCAAAATGACATCCCGGAAGAAGGTTCTCCTGAAGGTTATCATCCTGGGGGATAGCGGGTCAGTATTAATACTGCTTCTTCTTTGTCAGTTATTAACATTTTCCTCAGGAAAGCGAGTCAATATTTGTACTGTTCTACTAACTCTTGGTAGAAATGAATAATTGAAATGAAGCCTGAAAGTTTTGGGGCTGGTTGTCAGTCTTCCCAGGGATGGGTCGGATGCGGCTGGGAACATAGATGAGTACTGTTTCTTGTCAGATATCAGTATCTTCCTGGGGAATGCAGATCAGTACTGTGTCTTGTCAGATACCAGTATCTTTCTGGGGAATGCAGATCAGTACTGTGTCTTGTCAGATATCAGTATCTTTCTCGGGAATGCAGATCAGTACTGTGTCTTGTCAGATGTCAGTATCTTCCTGGGGAATGCAGATCAGTACTGTGTCATGTCAGATGTCAGTATCTTCATGGGGAATACAGATGAGTACTGTGTCTTGTCAGATGTCAGTATCTTCCTGGGGAATACAGATGAGTACTGTGTCTTGTCAGATATCAGTATCTTTCTTGGGATGCAGATCAGTACTGTGTCTTGTCAGATGTCAGTATCTTCCTGGGGAATGCAGATCAGTACTGTGTCTTGTCAGATATCAGTATCTTCCTGGCGAATGCAGATCAGTACTGTGTCTTGTCAGATGTCAGTATCTTCCTGGGGAATGCAGATCAGTACTGTGTCTTGTCAGATATCAGTATCTTTCTGGGGAATGCAGATCAGTACTGTGACTTGTCAGATATCAGTATCTTCCCGGGGAAAGGGCAGGTCAGTACTGTGTCTTGTCAGATATCAGTATCTTCCCGGGGAAAGGGCAGGTCAGTACTGTGTCTTGTCAGATATCAGTATCTTCCCGGGGAAAAGGCAGGTCAGTACTGTGTCTTGTCAGATATCAGTATCTTCCCAGGGAAAAGGCAGGGCAGTACTAGTACTGTGTCTTGTCTCCATTATCCTGCAGTTTCATACACTGATATTTTGTGTTGACATTTGTGTAACAGTTTTGAACATCAGGCATAGAGATGTTCTTAAAGCAACATGAGTTATGAGGTTGTATGTGCCAATATTCATATTCATCCCTCTGACTCCTATATATACAACGGACCCGTGAAGATCCGGGGTAGAATCGGTCTTCAGCAACCCATTCTTGTTGTAAAGTCTTTACCCATGTAAGGTTCCACAGTCCACTAGAAAACCAGAATTATTACATTTAACTATGACATATATTTGTGTTCTTTAACATAAACATCACTCGTTAGATAAGATGATTTGTGTAAAAGGGGTAGAACAGGTCTGCATGTCATCGTATCCCAATTGCGTGGATTGATGCTCATGAGGTCAATCACTGGATTGTCTGGTCCAGACTTCATTATTTACAGACCACCGTCATAAAGCTGGAATATTGGTGAGTGAGGCGCTAAAGAACAAACAAACAAGCCTATATGCAATGGTGCTGCTGGAAAATCCCACTCATTCACACATTAACATTCTGTGGTGTTTGTTTCAGTGTTGGCAAGACGTCGCTCATGAATCAATATGTGAACAAAAAGTTCAGTAACCAGTACAAGGCTACAATTGGGGCTGACTTTCTGACAAAGGAGGTGATGGTGGACGATAGGCTGGTCACAATGCAGGTAGGTCAGCCTCTGTGGGCAGTAGGTGGATTTGGAATGGATAGGCAATTAATCATGGAGATGAATGAGATGCAGGTAGGTGGATTTGGAACAGATGGTTGTGCAGCCAGAAGATGGGATAGGATACATGTTGATAAAATGGGATGCAGGTTAACAGATGAGTTTAGATGCAGGTAGTAAGTTTAAATGCAGGTAGATGTGATGCAGAGGTAGATGAGATGGGATGCAGGTAGATAAGATGGGATGCAGGTAGATAAGATGGGATGCAGGTAGATGGCATGCAGAGGTAGATGAGATGGGATGCAGGTAGATAAGATGGCATGCAGAGGTAGATGAGATGGGATGCAGGTAGATAAGATGGCATGCAGAGGTAGATGAGATGGGATGCAGGTAGATAAGATGGCATGCAGGTAGATGGGATGCAGAGGTAGATAAGATGGGATGCAGGTAGATAAGATGGGATGCAGGTAGATAATATTGGATGCAGGTAGATGAGATGGGATGCAGGTAGATAAGATTGGATGCAGAGGTAGATAAGATGGGATGCAGGTAGATGAGATGGGATGCAGGTAGATAAGATGGGATGCAGGTAGATGAGATGGGATGCAGGTAGATGAAATGGGATGCAGGTAGATGGCATGCAGAGGTAGATGAGATGGGATGCAGGTAGATAAGATGGGATGCAGGTAGATGGGATGCAGAGGTAGATGAGATGGGATGCAGGTAGATATGATGGGATGCAGGTAGATGGGATGCAGAGGTAAATGAGATGGGATGCAGAGGTAGATGAGATGGGATGCAGGTAGATGAGATGGGATGCAGGTAGATGGGATGCAGAGGTAGATGAGATGGGATGCAGGTAGATGAGCAGGTAGATATGATGGGATGCAGGTAGATGAGATGGGATGCAGGTAGATAAGATGGGATGCAGAGGTAGATGAGATGGGATGCAGGTAGATGGGATGCAGAGGTAGATGAGATGGGATGCAGATAGATAAGATGGGATGCAGGTAGATAAGATGGGATGCAGGTAAATGGGATGCAGAGGTAGATGAGATGGGATGCAGGTAGATGGCATGCAGAGGTAGATGAGATGGGATGCAGGTAGATGAGATGGGATGCAGGTAGATATGATGGGATGCAGGTAGATGAGATGGGATGCAGGTAGATAAGATGGGATGCAGGTAGATGAGCAGGTAGATATGATGGGATGCAGGTAGATGAGATGGGATGCAGGTAAATGGGATGCAGAGGTAATTGAGATGGGATGCAGGTAGATGGGATGGGATGCAGGTAGATATGATGGGATGCAGGTAGATGGGATGCAGAGGTAGATGTGATGGCATGCATGGGGAATGAGGTTGGATGCAGGTAGATGTGAGTGATGGGATACAGGTAGATGTGATGATATTGAATACAGGTAGATATGAGATTAGATACAGGTACATGTGATGAGATTGGATACAGGTGGATGTGATGAGGTCGGATGCAGGGGTGGATGATGTGTGATGAAGGGGTGGATGAGATGCGGGTAGATTGGGAAGGGAAAGTTGGAAAGAGGTGTGTGGCAAGATGGTATCCAGGGGTGTATATAATGAGATGAGAAATAGGTAGATAGATTGGGAAGGGCACATATGCAGATAGAACACGAGCAGTGATGTATGGGATATCTACTTTCAAGATAGATAACACAAAAGTCACCTCTGCAGATTATGTTGTTGGATCCGGTTTAGTCAATCCTCCACAAAGTGTCTTTTTGTCTTTTACTGTAGATATGGGACACAGCTGGTCAAGAGAGATTCCAGAGCTTAGGGGTGGCATTTTACCGCGGCGCTGACTGCTGTGTGCTCGTCTTTGATGTCACCATGCCAAACACGTTCAAGAATCTGGACGGCTGGCGAGATGAGTTCCTCATACAAGCAAGTCCTCGCGACCCAGAACACTTCCCCTTCGTAGTCATTGGCAACAAGATAGACTTGGAAAACAGAGCGGTAAGTTCACAGGGACCGAGAAATGTATGAAAGTGTGATCTTGCATGTAGGGCTCTCCCTCTTGACACAAGTATTATACCTGGCCATCAACAAGTTTCCTTCAATTCACAGAGTACCAGAACTTCCACTCTTTGATGAGGGCATGAGTCCCTTTGGCACACCAGAAACCTATGATCGTGGGTCCGAATCCTGGTTCGCCTGATTATGTTTCTAGGTTTGTCGGCACCACATCTGTGCTTTGGGGTTTCACTAAAGTGGTAAACTACTGAGACCTGCGTCACTTCGGGCTTTCCTCCCATTAAGCTGACACGCCATGATAACTGGAATAATGTTAAAAGCGGCGTTAAACCCAACTCTCTCACTCCACTCTTTGACTATTAGACAGTCACTCTGTTGATTCTGATGTGATCCTTTGATGGTCACGTTAGGCTGGGTATTGCTTGTTAAATTGTCTGTTAAAGGGTTATGTGGATGTTTCAGGTGTCGGCAAAACGGGCCCAGAGCTGGTGCAGCAGCAAGAACGACATACCATATTTTGAGACAAGTGCGAAGGAGGCTATCAACGTGGAACAGGCATTCCAGACAGTGGCCAAGAACGCACTGATGCAGGAGTCCGAGGTGGAGCTGTACAACGAGTTCCCCGACCAGATCGTGTTAACAAAAGAACAGAACAAACCAAGGGAAGGATGTGGATGTTAATAACAACTGGCAATCTAGTGACTTGATCCGATACTCGGTGGCTCGGTCAGCCGGCCAGCTACAGGATAGTGATGTTGGTTGCCGAGGTACCATACAGCCCAATACAATGGGATGACTGACCAATTGTCAAAGTTCTCTCTCTCTTGTCCAGGTTTCAGAAATACTTTGGTAGGAATCGTCAAAGAATTTTATCATTTAGGAAATATATATATATATATATTATTTAATCCCCCATTTCTACGTGAGTATTTCCGAGCAGCAAGAGAAAGGCAACTTTGACAATACTGCGCACTATTGTGTCCTGTGTAAAACAGCTTCACACGTTTCTGTGAGGTGGTTTTGGCCTTTGTGCATACGAGTAAATGTGTATGGATATGCTTATGATACCTCCGAATGTGACATGACTGTCATCTTGCACGTTTCAGTGATTTTAATAATGACACTCTGTTGACTAAGACGGAACTGTACAAATCATCCATTGATAATATTGCTTATCTGCATGTTTTACATCAAGGTCAAGGCTGCCACTGACCAATCCTGTTGTGGATTGGCTCGGGGCAAGGCAATGAGAAAATATAGAAATATTTTCCATGTTGTACATGCAATGTGATTATATAGGTAGGATTACTGAACTTAGAGAAATTTTATGTATCATATGTATTTATTTTGCTGCTTCATTTGTAAGACATGCCGCATGACCAGTTGTACATTTTCCTTCAATATCTGTGAGCTTTGGTTAGAGTTATCCCCCTTCCTTCAGCTGGACGAATATCTGCTGGATGCATCTCAAAACACAATATATCATGGTCAGCCAGTTGACTAATCAGTCTCTTTACAGAACTCCCCAACTTTACTTTCTCTTTTGTTGATAGTTTACTACATTCAAAATAAAGGAAACCTTTCTACATCCGTCTGTGTTCATGTGGTGTTTTCAGTGGGAGTGTGGTGTGTATTATACAGTACTGTGTGTCCCTGTAGGCAATCTTGTTAAAATAGATCTTAGTGCTTGCTACCACTATTCAATGATCTTAGGACACCATTACAGGTCAGGTCAGAACAACCTTTCACAAACTTAGACCAACCAATGAAATGACTAACAGGAAGTCGATATTAGCCAATCAGAGAGCAGCTTTATCAAGCTTTGTGTTACTAGTTTCAAAATGGCAACTTCCATTCCAGACTACCTTTGAAAAATAATTTGATATAGCTCTCGATTCAAAATTTAAAAAGTGAACAAACTTAAATTCTGAAATGCCTACTAGAGGTGTATGGCAGTACTTCCTAGTGGCTGTGAAGAGCCTTATCCCATTGAAGCTAGAGATACACAATAATTTTGATGAGAAGTTTGTTGTTTGTCCACTTTGCCTACTTTTTACGAATATAATGAGTTTTTTTCTCTAGGAAATTGACTTTTGGAAATTTTATATTCGCCAAAATATCACAATTATTTCTTTCACTTTATTGGCCCTTGAAAAGATGGTACTTCTTATTAACCTGCCTAGTGGTGGACATCAAGGGGATATAACCAGTACTGGTGGCTCTGAGTTTGTATACTGTGTCTGAGTGGGGTATCCATGTTAAACTGTGGCATGGTACAATCTCATTAAAATCAGATCTTAGTTCTTGCTGCCGCTAAACAAAGATCTGAGGACATCTCATTACGGGTCACATCAAACCGACCTTGCACAAACTTTGACTGACCAATGGAATTACCAATTAGAAGGCAGTTTTCTCTTGCTTTACGGCACTAATTTAAAATTGGCGTCTACGCTTCGCAACATATTTTGGCAAATTCTCGATTACAAATTTGAAACCTAAACAAAAGAACACTCTGGAATGGCTAATAGATGGTCTAGATTGTATGGATTCAGTCGTTAAACCCGTAACTATCGTTCGGAATACCCCGTGTTAATGTTTTCGAGGTTGTATGATTAGAAATCACATTCCGACTGTCACTTTCATGATCTGGTAAGCGACGCTCTGATTGGTCGGATGAAAGGTCGTTCTGAAGTGACCCCTAATGGCATGTCTTCAGACCTTGTTTTGCGGTAGCGAGAACTGAGGTCTGAATTTAAAGAGATTGTGGCATGGTATCTCTCAGGGCTAGCACAATAAAACCAGCATAAGTACAAACAGACACACACACATGCATGGATTGCATTGAAGTGTAGTCGTATTGACCCCGACCCCACTTCATCTCATCTCGCCTCTCAAAGATTAATAATGGTTTAGTTACAGGTTTTGTTTTCCTGACTGATGACAAGAAAAGACTACCAATGGGTGTTCAGTCCTAGGAAGTTATCTACTCTTCAAGCAAACAATATCACTGTTGGGTGTTGAACCAAAACAAGGAATATACCCAAGATTCTCCAAACATATTCATTTTGGGAAATGATGACTTGCAGCAACCTGATACTGAATTTCCTAATGAATACCATGTTTATCTTGGGAACTGTTATTTTAAGGCATTTTCAGAATATTGAAAAAGTATAAAAATATAAAGAATAAAATTCCACACACTTTACTCACGAGGATTAAAACTACAGATACTGTACTGTGAGGAATAAAACTTCACATCCTGTACTCACGAGGGACAAAACTCAACATACTGTATTCATGAGGGATGAAACTACACATAATGTACTCATGAGGAACAAAACTAGACATACTGTACCCATGAGGGATAAAACTCCACGTAATGTACTCATGAGGGATAAAACTTCACACAGTCACTCGTTAGGAATAAAACCACACACACTGTACTCGTGAGGGATAAAAGTACACATACTGTACTCGTGAGGAATAAAACTACACATAATGTACTTGTGAGGAATAAAACTACACATACTGAACTCGTGAGGAATAAAACTACACATAATGTACTCGTGAGGAATAAAACTACACATAATGTACTCATGAGGAATAAAACTACACATAATGTACTCATGAGGAATAAAACTACACATACTGTACTCATGAGGAATAAAACTACACATACTGTACTCATGAGGAATAAAACTACACATATTGTACTCGTGAGGAATAAAACTACACATACTGTACTCAGGAATAAAACTGCACATACTGTACTTATGAGGAATAAAACTACACATACTGTACTTATGAGGAATAAAACTACACATATTGTATTCGTGAGGAACTGAACTCTGCATTTTGTTTTCATGGGGAATAACACTCTACATGTTGTCTTCATGGGGCATAAAACTCCACATATTGTTTTCATGAGGAATAAAACTCCACATATTGTTTTCATGGTGAAATAATTAATCTCCATGTAATTAGATCTTGCACTCCCATTCCATACCTATCTTCATGTAGATCGGAGGACACACCCATAGAATGTCGAGTGAGGTGATCCCCGAGCTAACTTTGACTGTCCAGGCGATAAATGAAGAGCCAATCGGATGCCAGCTCTCCAAGCCAATTCAATTTCATTCCTTTTCCACCTCAATTTGTAAATTTGGCTTTCAAGGAAAGAAAACCCACACAGTGCACAAGTTCCTTTGGTGGACTTCCCGGGTACCCGGGTAGTAAAATTGGACTCGTCCCAGCCCTAGGTTCTAGTACCTTTTTTTTTAGTTGAGTCCCATCTGGGATTCGAATCCACACTGCTAGAGTGAGGCACCTAATCGCCAGCACACAAAGTCAGCGATCTAACCAACTTAGTTACCGAGGCTTCCGCAAAATATTGGAAGTCTAGATCATGTACTTTGTGTACCCCTCTGACAAGTGTAAATTGGCACGGCTCCCATGGCCGAAAGCTATGAACACACAATGCCATTTAGAAAGTGGTCAAATGCAACAAATGTTATATTTGCGATAACTCTTTCTTAAAATAATACACATTCTAGTACTTTTTTTTAGCTTAGACCCATCCAGGGTTTCAAACCAACAATGCCAGAGTAAACTATCCACAACAATATAATGACGTGGCCTCATTAATTACATGCGGAACTGGTCATTTAATTTGTTATTTGTATATGCTGGTCTGAATCCTTCACTTACTAGCACTGAGGATTTACATGCCTTGACATTGATTTGTCAATTAAAAAGTTCACGCAGACAACGTCCTTGGTGTCACCAGACCTTCAAGCAGAGAGGTATCATATCAATAGGATTTTAATGAGATCGGAGGAATAAAACTCCATATATTATACTCAGGAGGAGGACCGCCTCTGTGGTCTAATGGTAGAGCGTCCCCCCGGAGAGCGGAAGGTCCAGGGTTCGACCCCCAGCCGCGTCATACCAAAAGACGTTAAAAGATGGTACTTGTTGTTACCCTGTCTGGCGCTCGGCATTAAGGGGTTAGAACAAGAACTGGTCGGCTCGGAGTCAGTATAATGTGTGTGAGTGGGGTATTCATGTTAAACTGCCGCATGGTATCTCAGTGTGCTAGCACTATAAATCGGCATCAGTCCGGACTAGTACACACACACACATACACATGCATGCACGTCGCTATATAAGTGCAATAAACGTTAAACCCCATTTCACCCCACCTCACCTCAGGAGGAAAAAAATGTCAAATCTTGTACATATGGGGAATAAAACTACAGTGTATTTATATGTGATGAACATGTCAAACATATTTTACCCAACCATCACCAAACACTGAAGATTGTATGTTTATTCAAATAATTAATGTTTATTAGTTATCTCTTATTTGATAATTCTACACATAGGCAAAGATCAAAACTGACATTCATTATGTAGAACATGTTTGTGGTTTGGTCACATCTTTGTGATATCATTGCACTTCAGAAATGATCATCCATTATTTTACAGCAACTTTTGAATGGTCTTTTTGGACATACACTATACTAAGAAATTTGCAATTAAAGATTAAACTCAAAAGAAGTATATCATAGTCTTAACAATATTTAAATGTCTTGATCTCTGTGAAAAGTATAAATACTGAAGGACTTTCTTTGTGTGTTTGATTTTGAGATCTGATTTCAATTACTGATGGTCCGGAAATAGTTATATCTATCAATGTTTTGCATTTACAATATAACTTTTCAAGGCTTACAGAATCATGCCATGAATGATGCCTGTAATTTTCAGCAGAGGCCATATACCGATTTGGGCTTTTGGTCTTTGTTTTCAGGGATCGATAATATATTTTTCTATTGCATTTAGAACTAAGAAAATTGTTATGTAACATCCAAAGTTAATATTTTATCGCAGAAACATTATACTATATGTTTTAAAATAGGCAAAAAGTGAAATTGTTTTTTAAAAATGAAAAATGGTTCAGGGCGGGATACGAACCCTCAACGTTCGTGTTGCACACTCTGCTTTCTCGCCAGATGGCAGTTTTCATGAAAATAAATGACGTCACGTGTGGACGCCATTTTAGGTGTGGAGTTGTCGTTTATGTTTCACAAATGAACAATATTTGAAGGATATCGGTAAATGCCAACTTTACACATAGACCAGGCAGGCACTGCTTTTATCAGAGAAACGTCTTTGGTGTTTTTCAAGCGATAAGATGACTATTCTGCCAAAGAAGAAACAGTCAAAAGATAAGTCTGATACGGAAACAACCGACCATTCGCATACAGCAACACACAACCATTCTCACAGCCACAACCATTCACATTCTCACTACCATCACGCTAACTCCAGTGAAACAAGACACGAGAAAGGTGCTAGAGGAAGAACTTCACCTACAAGATGGCTTCCTTCAACGTCAAGGGAAGAAAAAGTTCCAACTCACGATCCTGGTGGTGGGACATTCGAGAACCATGAAAGTTCGTCGTTGACATCGTCGCATAATAAACGGCGTCATCGGTCGTCGCCACACAGGACTGTCAGGAAGCACAGGGGTCATTCCGCGAATGTACCCCCTCTGTCCCCACACAGTCCAACTGAAGGACCCTCCCAGGAATGTGAGGACCCGTACAATAGTGAAGATGAACACAGTCCACCCACTTTGCCGGAGGACATCAAGGAGGTAGCCTTATGTTTAAAAAATGCTGTTGATCAGGAACATGTTAAAATATTGTAATTTCTTTCCGTGTCTTATGAGTTGTTTACAAGCCGGGCAAGAGTACAATTTTTTTTTTGTAATGAGATGAAAATAGTGATGTATTTGACCGATATTGTAAAGTAAACAAACATCAGCATAGAATCTATTCAACAATTATAATGCTTGGGTTATCATATGGTATGGTACAGTGAACATGATGTATGCCTAATAATAACGATAACATGCATATATGAAAGTTTTAAGGGTTTACTACATATACAAATTAAGCCATTTAGCTGTGGTCGATGCCGATCAATATGTGAATCATAATGAAATAACGTGCTATGGTATATGGTGACTACCAATGAATATATGAGTTCACTGTTACTTGTTATTTGTAACCATATTGCAAGATACCGGAATGATTTACCTCACTGCACATCAGGTTCAATTAAATGTTATAACTTTTGTAAGTTGATGAATATAGAATCTCCAGACTTCAAAGTAAGAGTTATGTATTCAAATCAATGACAATGAGATTTAAATGGGATATTTCAAACGTTAATACCTTTGGTCAATGTAGATTTTACTGTATGGCTAGGATACCATAGAAACTGATAATCATGAAATCCCAGCTGTGGCAGTTGTCATGACGCTAATGTTGATATGATTCGCATGCATAGATACATTTCATTTAATGAAAACAAGATCCGGGTTATTTTGCCAGCACTGTGATAAGCACTTGATATGAAAAGTATTTTGTCAGACTGCGTCTTCTAACTTTTAAATTTGGTTCGTTCATTCTTAGGGTGCGCGGTATTATCACTATTTCGGTAAATGGAGGTTCATTCTTTCAACGATATGTATCACAATATCATGTTTTAATGCTCGGTATATTGGGTGATTTCAAATAGCGATTTTTATCATGTGTTCAATGTTATACACTTGCCAAATACCCGAAGCGTACATCCATGCATGTTTATTGAATGACTATGAGTAAATACTATGTTGTACCAGTGTCTTGTTCTGTTCCATTTATAAACTTCAATTCATACACTGGTATTTCAAATTGTCTCAGAATTCAAAATTTAGAATTATACAATATATTGTGATATGTATCACAATACAGCCTTGTGCATAGTAAAATATTGTGATACACTTGATATCATTAGTTGCTATATGGCTGAAATAATGCTGATGCGACGCGAAATTCTAACTCACTCACATGTATATATTATTAACAAAATTGAAAAAAATCTTGTGGACATTTTGGATGACCATCAGTCAAATGTCCTAGAAAACAAACTGATCTTAAACCATGTAAACCATGAAGTCTACAGATAATAATGCCAAAATACGAGTTTGGGCTAGTAAAAAAGAATTTGGCACAGACTGAAACAAATGTATTTCCTTGGATGCATTATAAAGTTTATTAAAATCATCCTGTTACAGCTAATCTCAGAGTAATAGTTCTTGTATACACTTATAAATAGTCACAACTTGTGTTTGGTTTGAAAATCCTGGATAACCCAGGTGAACTCGTGTTGACCAAGGTATAACCCACGTTAAACATGTTTTCCTAATGTTTGCACATTAACTGATTGTCCAAGTTATCCACACCTACTGAACCCCTGGACTGACCGGCCTGGGGTGTGATAGCAGCCCCCAAGTGTTGTCTTTGTTATTGCCAACTAGTTCCATTTATTGATTCAATCATGAAAATTAATCAACTAGGTACAATGTGCCCTCGCTATTGCACTCTTTGATACAGCAGTAACTCGGTTATAGCACACGGTAACGCAAGGCTTCACAAATTTACAAACATTTTTAATGAGCTCAAGTTTTACACTAACACAATGTTCTTTCTCCATCGCAAAAAAACATCACCAGTTGATCACCAAGAGCGCTTTACACCGGAAATATTAGTCAAGATTTATGATCTGAAGTACACAATTTCATCCTATTATTCTTCTATCTTGTTATAAAAACATGTTCATTGTGTGTCTGGACTTATGTTTGTAATTAGTTTTTGTGTTAGTTTATTAATGTTATTCAAAATTGCATTAAAAAATTGTGTGTGAAGTGATCCGTAGATCATGCAACTCGCCGTCATTTACAGCAACCACAAGTCAGATTACCGCTACTGACGCCTTGAAATGAACTTGAGTTGACAAGGAATGGATACATATATCATAAATGCCATGACTTGTTAAAAGACATATTTATGGCATTTTGACTATGTAATGTGGGAAGTCCCAACGATGACTGTTCAAATTATTAATGTAAAAAATATCCTGCAATGGCAATCAGCTGAACTTAAGTGGTACATTTATGGTTCTTATAATTTTAAATATATATAGTAAAAGCTGCAACTAAAATAACATGATATTGGAATATATTATTCCTGATAAAATTATAATTTCAGACACAATTTCTTACAACTATATGCATCAAAATGCTTTGAAAATGTGTCATTGGCTAGTTTTTAACTGTATCACCAGTAGATTGGGAGAAATTGTGTGTACAGCAGGTAGCTATTTCTGGCTTAGTTTACGAGAAAATACACACGGTTATCTTAATCTCTGCATATATAAAATGCTTTGGAGTGCAGAAAATACAATTTAGATGGTAAGTATGTCTAGTGATGTTCCATATCAAATTTCATATATTTATTGACCAAGTTTGTTATGCCTGTTGGTTCACCTGAATTCGCTGAAGGGATATGATGTGTTTTTTTACTGTGCATAACGCTCTTTTATTCTTTTTTTAAACTATGACTCCTAAACAACTGCTATTCTTATTTTTTTTCAAACTCAGAGCATGTACCGTTGTGTTGATTATCTACGCCCTACGACTCCATCTCCGTTAAACCACTGATTGTCTATAGCTCTCTACAATTATTTGGACTCAAAAGGCAGTTCTGTAGCGAGGGATCCCTGTATTGATAGTATATATTTATTCTGATATGCGTAATGGTTTAAACTTTTGATTGATGATCTAACTTTAGAATCAATAATGCAAGTTGATGATGATTTTGCATCTCTGTTTGATGTTCTACTCGTCATTTTGACCTTTCATGTTTTTTTGCTTGCATTAAACAGGAAAGGTACAATGACAGCTTTGTCAAGCAATGCAGCACTTGTTAACCTCCCATAGCTGTGTGCTATAGCAATACACATGGCTGTTGTTTCTCCTTCTCCTGGCAGACAATTGTATTGTAATATATATTGCATCTAAGTGTTATTTTATGAGTTTTAAATCAGGCATTGCCATAAGTTATCCTTGATTAACACAGGTTAACTCAGGTTGAATCTAATCAACCATGGTTGCCAGACATGTGGTAATCTTGATTGAATCAGATCACTCAAATATTGATAATTGAACGCACATACTGTGTTACCTCCCTTGATTAAGCGTTACTTGGGGCAGCCGAGCCTCTAACAATAGCGGAAATGACAATGTATGATGTTATTATGGTCTTTTAAAGAATAAAGGGCAGTTTGAAAGTGAAAGAAAGCATAGCAGTATGTTAATGGCATTGATATTGTATTAACAATATAGACCTAGTTGTTGCAGTATATAACAATATAAAATTACAGGCAATACACAGCCCTAGAATCTTGTTAAAATTTTATTACAACATAATCTTAATCCAACAAAGTCCAATGTACATTTTGCCAGCATTACTGCATTTTTTCAGAAAAAATACAGGCTTCAAATATTTTTTTCAGGCTAGAGCCATATTGAGACTTGTCTCTGCATAAGATAAGCTCAGTTCAAAGCACACAGATTATATCCAAACAGAAGTTATCCTTATTATCACAGAAAATCTGAGACTATCGCTTCGTCTCTGAAAATATGTGAACTTCTATCTCACACTATGCATTTCTTCTTTCTTCTTAGATCCTATGTGGAAACGTGCTGGAAACATGTTTCCAGCTTCTAAAACAAAATACTTCACCCAAACGTTTATGCCATTGTTTTGGGGCGCTGTTTCTGGGATTTGCAACATACTGTATGGGAAAACAAGACAATATCTAAGGATATACCTCATACTTGTCAGAGTAAAATTACACTGGGATTTTGTGGTCATTGTCCTTGTAATAATATGTTTAAGATGTAATAAGTTTTAGATGTCCTAGGCATCAAAATGGGGTCCCAGGGTGAACACTCCCCCAACAGTTTATAAAAGTGCATGGTTACCTTACACGACCTGATCACATATCTCTGCCAACTCATTCTCTTTCTGATTGCCACTGTCTGACCACTCTCAACAGCGAATGCCTTATGTTGATTATAAATGGGATTCTTTGTTTAAATCAAAAGTTAGTGATTGAATGAAGAAACATTGATCATATTTCTGCAAATTAAAGAACATTCATCAATGATTCTTTGAAATCAGCTGACAGTATATATACCGTAGTATGCCACGAGACAGTAATTGCTGATAGGAACCAATGAAACTACAGGTAACTCAGAAATACCTTAGCTCAGATTGCTTGGGCTGAGTGATCATTTGTCATTAGGTGAGGCCGGTGATATCCCTTGTTTAATGTTTTTGAAAATAGGGGAAAAAAATAACATACAGATTTTGACTGGACATGTGGAAAGAATGATTACTTTTAACATCTACTTGTAACTTGTGTTTAACTTTCACTTAAACATTGTTGTCAGAACGACACAAGTAGGTTTATAATAATTTCAAAATGAATTTAAAAAAATCTTCTTTTGGGGAGGGGGATCTTACTTCCTGACTGACCTCAACGGGTCCAAATAAATCTTCAACTCATTTTTTTGGCCTTCAGCATCTTGGCATTTAGAGTGATAAAGTCTGTGAAACAAACAAAATTGTTCATACCTTGTGAAATATTCAATTGGTATAGATATGGTGTATGCTATATGTTTATGTAACATAACCAGATTTTTTGTGAAAACAGCTGTCCTTCAAGATGATAGACTAGTGGCTGTGTGTAACTCTGATCCACAGTAATACATGCCTTGTTCTGACTATAAGTGTAGGGGCAGTCGGGTTGCCTAGTGGTTAAAGTGTTCCCTTGTCACGCCGAAGACCCTGGGTTCGATTCCCGACATGGGTACAATGTATGAAGCCAAGTTCTGGTGTCCCAGTTTTGATATTGCTGGAATATTGCTAAAAGTGGATGTAAAACCAAACTCTCACTGACTATAAGTGACTCACTGTTATCAACTAGTCTTCAGATGGGAAATTCCTCGTTTCATGGAATGTTGTGTAAGTTGATTAGATTTGGAAAGAACGCCAAGCAACACCTGAGACAGTGTTTTGCTGTTGTTGGCTAGAAGCCCAAATGAGCTGATGTCAATGCATGTCTGTCTGTTGTGACATCCATCATCCAGAGCTCCAGATAACTTTTTGAGCAGTTGAGTTTTTACTCTAGGGTTTCTATTTTAATTGGGTTAAAACATTTTTCATTGGGTAACCAATATTTTTTCTCTCATCTGTTCATCACTCTATTGGGTTTTTCCCAAAATTAGTAAACAATTTAAGATTTTACGCAAATAGGCTGCTTATCTGCAGCTCTGATCATCACCTTTGAAAGATACGGTGGTATTGATGAAGCTGAAACTTGGCATGCATCTTCTCACCAGTGATGACACCAGTGTGTTTGTCATTTAAGAAATAATAAACTAAGTTTCGTCATTAGAAAGTTGCAGCATCCTTTTCTCTAAAAGCTTCTTATGGTAATGATAAATGTATTCCACTGTTTTTCAAGGCATAGCAATTGGCATCGTAACAGCAACAGCTAGCTGCTTCGGATTATGTGACAAACTATTTTTGTAACCTTTCCCAGAAGCTGGTAAACCGAATGTGCAAGAACTCTAAATGATTGTATGTCAGCATAACACAGGCCTCTGACAAGTCTGGCATTACTGTAATTGTTTGTCACAGGCAGCTCTCTGTATTATTTTGGAAGTTCAATGATCATGATGATACATGACTGTTTTGCAACTCTGTTTTAAATTCATAGCCATGACAACCTTTTTATTTTAAGAAAAGCAGTTAATTTGCCTTGATAATGTTACCATTGGTATAGGTTAAGCTTGTAGTTCTCATTGTACTCATCTTAGTAGGTATGTTTTATTGTCAACTGGTAGAATATGCACTGGTATCACTGTATATCAGTTTTTAATTTTTTTATTATTTCTTTCTTTTTTGTAGGTGGAATTGCCCATCATATTTAGGACTAACATTTGAGAAATTAAGAAACACAAATTATTTTAACAATTTGAATTAATATGATACATTTACTTTGATCTGTTGATACATGCAACACACATTGATTCAGGAGAAACAATTACATGCTGAACTGTCTATCTACTGTTTCAGCTGGAGAGATGGTTTGAAAATGCTATGAAGGAAAAGAAAGGATTTCTTATAAAGAAGATGAAGGAGGATGGTGCTTGTTTATTCAGGGCAGTCGGTAAGAAACTTTATATATTCCTGTACATCGGTGTGGACCTTTGGTTTGTTATTCATGCTTCGTTTGTTTGTTGTTTAATGCCACACTCAGCAAACTTACAGCTACATGATGGTGGTCTTGATGATTGAATCTGGACCAGACACTCCAGTCATTGACATCGTGAGCATCCGTCTACACAAATGGGATACGTTGACATGCATAAACCAAGTCAGTGAGCCTGATCACCCGATCCCATTAGTCGCCTCTTACAGCATGCCTGGCTTGCCGAAGACCAATTCTAAGTTGGATCTTAACAGGTTTATTATTTATGCAGTTTGTTAGGAGCTTTACTGATCGGTCATATATTATGTACTGTTCTGAAAGTCCCACATGTGACAATATGGAGTGTCAAGTTCACTCCCATGCATGCTGGAGATCAGACACTGTCGTCAAGATCCGGGGTAGAATAGGTCTTCAGAAACCCATGCTTGTTGTTACATAAACAACGGGATCGGGTGGTCAGACTCGCCGACTTGTTTGATGCATGTCATCAATCCCAAATGCGTGGATTGATGCTCATGATGTTAATCACTGGATTGTCTGGTCCAGACTCGATTATTTATAGACCACCGTCATATACCTGGAATATTGCTGAGTGCAGCGTTAAACAACAAACGAACTTACAGGGTAATCATAGGTGTGTTCTCATGCTTCTCCACATTGTCACCCGACCAAGTCTAGGCCCCCAGCACCCAGTGTTAGCTGCGTGAGCCAACTGAAATGATGAGCAGCTTGTCACAATGTGTTAGGGGCGGTCGGGTAGCCTAGTGGTTAAAGTGTTCGCTTGTCACGCCGAAGACCCGGGTTCGAGTCCCGACATGGGTACAATGTGTGAAGCCCATTTCTGGTGTCCCCTGCCGTGATATTGCTGGAATATTGCTAAAAGCGGCGTAAAACCATACTCACTCACTCACTCACTCACTCACTCACTCACAATGTGTTATCAGCTGGTGCATCAGTGTACCCTGATGGTATTTTGCTCATACTGTCGACCACTGTGTGCCTTGCTCCTGGCATGGGATTTACCTGGACCATCTCAGAGAACAATATGTGCCCCCAAGTCATCAGCCAATATCTATACTAATTCCCAGTGATAACCAATATTATGGCTTTGTTGGGGTGTCTTGTATTTCAATGATAAGAGGACCATTAAAGAGGACAGAGAATGCTTTAGTGCTCAGTTTTGCACTATCATATTGAAAGCAATTTAAAATACCTCCTAATCTGAAAAAATCAGAACTTTTCACAGAAGTCCCAATTTTGAAAAAATGATGACTTTTTCACAGCTTGCCACTTAGATTGGAATCCAAGAAAAATACCTGTCCAGCAACCTATGCTGGTTGTAAGAGATGATCAAATAAATTGGGCAGTTAGCCTCAGTGACTTGTTTGATTTCATGTCAGCGTTACTCGACAGCATGAATTGTTGCTATCATTATTCATCACAGGATTGTCAGGCCCAAACTTGATTATTTATTGGCCACCGTCATATAGTTGTAATATTTCTGAGTGCGACATTAAATAACAAACAAACAAACAAATCATGTTAGCTATATAATAGGGGAATATTATCATGATTATTGCTGACATTCACTCACTCATGCAGGGTGATAATGTGAGAAAGATTAGTGATATTATTTGTCGGTATTCTTGGTTCTATCATTACATTTGTGTGTTTGGACTTGATTACTTCGTGCACATGGAAATCTAATTCAGAAGGTATTTGTTGTGTTTCAGCGGACCAGGTTTATGGAGACCAGGAGATGCATTCTTGTCTACGCAAACACTGTATAGATTATATGGTGAGTCAAACATTAGATTATTGGGTGAGTCAAATGCTGTATAGATTATATGGTGAGTCAAACACAATAGATTATTTGGTGAGTCAAACATTAGATTATCTAGTGAGACAAACACTGTATAGATTATATGGTGAGTCAAACATTAGATTATTGGGTTAGTCAAATGCTGTATAGATTATATGGTGAGTCAAACACACTAGATTATATGGTGAGTCAGACACTATAGATTATATGGGGAGTCAAACACTATAGACTATAAAGCGAGGCAAACACTATAAATTATATGGTGTGAGTCAAACAATGTAGATTATATGGGGAGTCAAACACAAGATTATTTGGGAAGTCATAAACTGTAGATTCCATGATGAGTCACATAGTATAGATTATGTGGTGAATCAAACACTACTGAGTATATGTTGAATCAAACACTGTATGTTATATGATAAGTGAAACACTATAGATTATACGGTGAGTCAAACACTGTATAGATTATATGGTGAATCAAACACTAGATTATATGGTGAGTCAGACACTATAGATTATATGGGGAGTCAAACACTATGGACTATAAGGCGAGGCAAACACTATAAATTATATGGTGAGTCCAGGGTTAGAAACTAACAGTTTTCGTCCACTAGTCCTTATAATGATAACATATAGCAAAACCCTTAAAAAGGGCAAATTTCTACTAGTCCTTATGATACCTTTACCATTGGGCAGTTTGGAAAGGACTATAGGACTAGTGCCAATTTCTAACGCTGAATTTAAACAATGTAGATTATATGGGGAGTCAAACAAGATTATTTGGGAAGTCATAAAGTGTATAGGTTCCATGATGAGTCACATGCTATAGATTAAGATCAAACACTACTGAGTATACGTTGAATCAAACAATGTGGATTATATGATAAGTGAAACACTATAGATTATAAAGGATGTATACAGTTTGCAACCTATGGAGATCCTCATGCAGAGAGGTATGGTTTTGGAGTGAAAGGTCTCATTATTATCAGATTGTTTTGAAAATCCAATGAAATAAATGGCGAATGTATTCTGACCTGAATGATTACATTTCAGAAAAAAAATGCTGAGTTCTTTTCTCAGTATGTTACTGAAGACTTTACAACATACTTGAACAGAAAGAGGATAGAAAGTTGCCATGGCAACCACCTTGAAATGCAGGCCATGTGTGAACTGTTCAACCGACCAATAGAGGTCTACCAGTACAGTATTGGTAAGGAGTAAAAGCATCTAACTTCTGTTTTAGTGGTTGTTGCAGAGTTGCATCCCTTTCTGTGTGGCAGAAACGGATGCTTGTGGGTTTGAATCCTGGTTTGCCCTGATGTTTTTATGTTTGTCAGTGTCATATTCAAGCTTGTGGGTTTAACCAAATTGATAAACGTTTAAGGCCTACTTTACTTGAGGCATTCTTCCCACATGATGCTTACATGCTGTAATATAACTGTGATATAACTGTGATACTGTTCAAACTTCAGAGTTAAACCAAACGACCCGTGAAGATCCGGGGAAGAATAGGCCTTCAGCAACCCATGCTTGCCGTACAAGGTGACAATGCTTGTCGTAAAAAGCGACTAACGGGATTGTGTGGTCAGGCTCGCTGACTTGGTTGATGCATGTCATTGTATCCCGTGGATCAATGCTCATGATGTCAATCACTGGATTGTCTGGTCCAGACTTGATTATTTACAGACCTCCATCATATAGCAGGAATATTGCTGAGTGCGGTGTTACAACAAACAAACAATAAAAAAGAAGTTAAATCAAACCTACTTACTCACTAAATAGTGGTTGTTCCCGACATGGGTACAGCATGTCAAGCCCATTTCTGGTGTTCTGATGTTACTGGAATATTGCTAAAAGCAGCGTGAAATCTAATTCACTCACTCTCACACTATTATTTGTTTGTTTGATGTTTAACGTAGCACTCAGCAATATTCCCGCTATATGATGGGGATCTGTAAATAATTTTACTTTGGACCAGACAATCTAGTGATTGACATAATGAGCACTGATCTACACAATTACGATGACATACATCAACCAAGTCAGTGAGCCTGACCACACAATCCCGTTAGTCGCCTCTTACGACAAGTATAGTCACCTTTTACGACAAGCATGGGTTGCTGAAGATCTATTCTAACCAGGATCTTCACAGATTCTCACACAATTAAAGATCAGACTATGTGATACTTGAAGGGGTAAGCTTGACTTTTCATGTTTGCAGAACCAATCAACACGTTTCACAGTGCCTACAAGACAGACAATGAGCCAATCAAGATCAGCTACCATGGTGGTGTTCACTACAACTCGGTCGTTGATCCATACAAAGCTACAATTGGTGTTGGCTTGGGGCTGCCAGGACTGCAACCAGGAGTGAGTATTGAAGGGTGGGGACTTTTAGGGTAAGTAGTGCAGGGTGGGGTGAGTATTGTAGGGTGGGACTGTCAGGGTGAGTAGTGAAGGATGGGACTGTCAGGGTGAGTAGTGAAGGATGGGACTGTCAGTGTGAGTAGTGAAGGGTGGGACTGTCAGGGTGAGTAGTGAAGGGAGGGACTGTCAGTGAGTAGTGAAGGGTGGGACTGTCAGAGTGAGTAGTGAAGGATGGGAGTGTCAGGGTGAGTAGTGAAGGGTGGGAGTGTCAGGGTGAGTAGTGAAGGGTGGGACTGTCAGTGAGTAGTGAAGGGTGGGACTGTCAGTGAGTAGTGAAGGATGGGACTGTCAGAGTGAGTAGTGAAGGGTGGGAGTGTCAGGGTGAGTAGTGAAGGGTGGGAGTGTCAGGGTGAGTAGTGAAGGGTGGGACTGTCAGTGAGTAGTGAAGGGCGGGACTGTCAGTGAGTAGTGAAGGATGGGACTGTCAGAGTGAGTAGTGAAGGGTGGGAGTGTCAGGGTGAGTAGTGAAGGGTGGGACTGTCAGGGTGAGTAGTGAAGGGTGAGGTGAGTAGTGAAGGGTGGGACTGTCAGTGAGTAGTGAAGGATGGGAGTGTCAGAGTGAGTAGTGAAGGGTGGGACTGTCAGTGAGTAGTGAAGGATGGGACTGTCAGAGTGAGTAGTGAAGGGTGGGACTGTCAGAGTGAGTAGTAAAAGGGTGGGACTGTCAGGGTGAGTAGTGAAGGGTGGGACTGTCAGGGTGAGTAGTGAAGGGCGGGACTGTCAGGGTGAGTAGTGAAGGGTGGGACTGTTGGGGTGAGTATTGTAGGGTGGGACTATTGGGATGAGTATTGTAGGGTGAGACTGTTGGGGTGAGTATTGTAGGTTGGGACTATTGCGATGAGTATTGTAGGTTGGGACTATTGGGATGAGTATTGTAGGGTGGGGGTGTTGGGTGAGTATTGTAGGGTGGGAGTGTAAGGGTGAGTATTGTAGGGTGGGACTATTTGGGTGAGTATTGTAGGGTCGGACTGTGGGGGTGAGTATTGTAGGTTGGGACTATTGGGATGAGTATTGTAGGGTGGGGGTGTTGAGTGAGTATTGTAGGGTGGGAGTGTAAGGGTGAGTATTGTAGGGTGGGACTGTTGGGGTGAGTTTTGTAGGGTGGGACTATTGGGATGAGTATTTTAGGGTGGGGGTGTTGAGTGAGTATTGTAGGGTGGGAGTGTAAGGGTGAGTATTGTAGGGTGGGACTGTTGGGGTGAGTTTTGTAGGGTGGGACTATTGGGATGAGTATTGTAGGGTGGGGGTGTTGAGTGAGTATTGTAGGGTGTGACTGTTGGTGTGACTATTGTAGGGTGGGACTGTTGGTGTGACTATTGTAGGGTGGGACTGTTGGTGTGACTATTGTAGGGTGGGACTGTTGGTGTGACTATTGTAGGGTGGGGGTGTTGGTGTGACTATTGTAGGGTGGGGGTGTTGGGTGAGTATTGTAGGGTGGGACTGTTGGTGTGACTATTTTAGGGTGGGACTGTTGGTGTGACTATTGTAGGGTGGGACTGTTGGTGTGACTATTGTAGGGTGGGACTGTTGGTGTGACTATTGTAGGGTGGGGATGTTGGGTGAGTATTGTAGGGTGGGACTGTTGGTGTGACTATTGTAGGGTGGGGGTGTTGGTGTGACTATTGTAGGGTGGGGGTGTTGGGTGAGTATTGTAGGGTGGGAGTGTTGGTGTGACTATTGTAGGGTGGGGGTGTTGGGTGAGTATTGTAGGGTGGGGGTGTTGGGTGAGTATTGTAGGGTGGGAGTGTTGGGTGAGTATTGTAGGGTGGGGGTGTTGGGTGACTATTGTAGGGTGGGGGTGTTGGGTGAGTATTGTAGGGTGGGACTGTTGGTGTGACTATTGTAGGGTGGGGGTGTTGGTGTGACTATTGTAGGGTGGGGGTGTTGGGTGACTATTGTAGGGTGGGGGTGTTGGTGTGACTATTGTAGGGTGGGACTGTTGGTGTGACTATTGTAGGGTGGGGGTGTTGGTGTGACTATTGTAGGGTGGGGGTGTTGGGTGAGTATTGTAGGGTGGGGGTGTTGGTGTGACTATTGTAGGGTGGGACTGTTGGTGTGACTATTGTAGGGTGGGGGTGTTGGTGTGACTATTGTAGGGTGGGGGTGTTGGGTGAGTATTGTAGGGTGGGAGTGTTGGTGTGACTATTGTAGGGTGGGGGTGTTGGGTGAGTATTGTAGGGTGGGGGTGTTGGGTGAGTATTGTAGGGTGGGAGTGTTGGGTGAGTATTGTAGGGTGGGGGTGTTGGGTGAGTATTGTAGGGTGGGAGTGTTGGGTGAGTATTGTAGGGTGCAGGTGTTGGGTGAGTATTGTAGGGTGGGGGTGTTGGGTGAGTATTGTAGGGTGGGAGTGTTGGGTGAGTATTGTAGGGTGCAGGTGTTGGCTGAGTATTGTAGGGTGGGGGTGTTGGGTGAGTATTGTAGGGTGGGAGTGTTGGGTGAGTATTGTAGGGTGGGGGTGTTGGGTGAGTATTGTAGGGTGGGAGTGTTGGGTGAGTATTGTAGGGTGGGGGTGTTGGGTGAGTATTGTAGGGTGGGAGTGTTGGGTGAGTATTGTAGGGTGTTGGGTGAGTATTGTAGGGTGGGGGTGTTGGGTGAGTATTGTAGGGTGGAACTTTTGGGATGAGTATTGTAGGGTGGAGTGTTGGGTGAGTATTGTAGGGTGGGAGTGTTGGGGTGAGTAATGTAGGGTGGGGGTGTTCGGTGAGTATTGTAGGGTGTTGGTGTTGGGGTGAGTATTGTAGGGTTGGAGTGTTGGGGTGAGTATTGTAGGGTGTGAGTGTTGGTGTGAGTATTGTGAGTATTGTAGGGTTGGAGTGTTGGGGTGAGTATTGTAGGGTGGGAGTGTTGGCGTGAGTATTGTAGGGTTGAAGTGTTGGGGTGAGTATTGTAGGGTGGGAGTGTTGGTGTGAGTATTGTGAGTATTGTAGGGTGGGAGTGTTGAGGTGAGTATTGTAGGGTGTGAGTGTTGGTGTGAGTATTGTGAGTATTGTATTGTTGGAGTGTTGGTGTGAGTATTGTGAGTATTGTAGGGTGGGAGTGTTGAGGTGAGTATTGTAGGGTGTGAGTGTTGGCGTGAGTATTGTAGTGTTGGGGTGAGTATTGTAGGGTGGGAGTGTAAGGGTGAGTATTGTGAGTATTGTAGGGTGGGAGTTTTGGGGTGAGTATTTTGAGTATTGAAGGGTGGAACTGTTGGCCTGAGTATTGTAGGGAGGGTTGGACATACTCAAGGTTTGTGTCTGCAATTAATGTTTTGGATTTGGTCTTTGTTTAAAAAGAATAAGTTAAGTATGTGTATTGATGACCCTCAATATTATTGTTCAATGAACAATGGAGATTTTAGCAATTAGTCACAAATCTGAAAGGTTCTCTGGTTCATCTTACAGAGACTTGATTGTTACGTCTTTTTTCTAGCTTGCTGACAAGAACCAGATGAAAGATGCAGTGAAGATGTCTGAGAACACCCATATAGAGAAGACAATGCTGGAGGATAAGATTCGTGAAACAGACTGGGAGCTGACACAGGAGACCATTGAGGAACAGGTGGCGCGGGAGTCATATCTTCAGTGGCTCAAGGAACAGGAGAAACAGGCTAACAGGCAGGGAGGGGTGAGTCACAACCACAGTGACATACAGGGGGTGGGGGGGATCCTTTCTGCAGTGGCACAGGGGAAAGGGGAAACAGGCAGGGAGGGGTGAGTCACAACCACAGTGACATACAGGAGAGGGTGGGGCGGGAATCCTTTCTGCAGTGGTTCAGGGGAAAGGAGAAACAGACAGGGAGAGGTGACATACCCCACAGTGACATACAGGAGGGTGGGGCGGGAGTCCTACCTGTTGTGGCAGTTTGTTTGAGAGAGAATGATATATTTGAAGCCTGTAAATAAGATAAAGACAAGGTTTAGGAACAAGTTGATGTAAATGAAGATTTGAAACAAAAACTTAGCCTTTCAAGTTGAGTTGTCTCAAGCAAGTTTCTAAAAACAAGTGGTTGCTGTTTCCAGCTCAGTTAATAAGACAGTACACACAGTAATCTTAATCTCTGCAGATAAGACAATGCCTTGTAGAACAGGAAATCATCATGTCTAGTGATGTTTTGTCTCAAATTTCAAATTTGTATTGACCAAGTTTAATTGTTTTCATCTGTTCATTTACCTGATTCCCGACATGGGTACAATGTGTGAAGCCCATTTCTGGTGTCCCCTGCCGTGATATTGCTGGAATATTGCTAAAAGCGGCGTAAAACCATACTCACTCACTCACTCATTTACCTGAATTCACTAAAGGGATACGATGTAATATTTTTCTGCAGAAGACAAACATGTTCTTATTGCAAGTATAGGGATTGTGTATGCGCTGGTGATGTGCTTCATTCTGGTTCGCTTTATAGACAGGGTATATTAATAAGCAGTGATTTTGAAGGTGTTTACAGGGGGCGCTTTATTGACGGTGATTCGCGGTAGTAGAAATTAACCCTATATAAGAGTTTTGCTATATGTTATTATTATTAGGACTACTAAACTAAAACTGTGTTTCTATCACTGAATTAGGAATGTGTGGGGATTCCTGATAAGGATTAGCCTGTAGCATCCTATACTAGCTGTGAGACACTTGATGACTTAATATTAATCACTAGATTGTCTGTCCAAACTCAAATCATGTAAGGGTTATACAATATGATATGCATTATTATTATTATTATTATCATTATTATTTCCCCCCTCCATGAAGGAACAGAGTTGGTCCGCCCTTCCATCCGTCTTTCCGTCCGTCCGCTTCTCAAAGGGGACACATTTTCTCAAAAACTATTTAAGTCAGAGAATTGAAATTTTAAAAACTCATTTTAGTGGTCATGACCTCAAATGAGTTTGAAAATTGCTGTCGTAAAATAATTTTTTACAGAGTGCATACTAGGGGATAGTGATAACGCTGTTTTCTTCTTCTTCTTGTTATTTTTTGGTTTCTATTGTGAATGATAAGGTGATGTGACGCTAACATCTGTTGCAGGCCCGTTCAGCCAGTGCCACATGCAGCTCATCCAGCGAGTACAGCCACAGCCTTTATGAGTCGGCTGGCTCCCCCGAGACACGTGGGGGTGGACGGTCTCCACGAGTCCGTAGTGGACAGAACTCCACCCAGAACAGTCCCCAGAGGCTGGATGGGGTGGACAACAGCCTGCCTCATATGGCCAGTCCCAACATGCCTACTGCAGGTGTGTGTAGTTATCTCCCCTATTGGAGACATATTTTTGTTACATTTACGAAGTCTTTCCTTAACAAGACTACTCAGCCGTTATCAGACCTGTGGAGTCCGAGTTAGAATTAGCCTTCAGAAATCCATGCTTGTTGTAAGATGAGACAAGCGGGATCAGGATGTTGTGTTCCCTGTTTTTTATTTGGTTGATGCGTGCGATCCTATTCCAAATGTGTTGATCAATGCTCGTTATGTTAATCAGTGGATTTTCTAGTCCAGACTCTATCATTGACAGAGATCACTGTCACGTCATAAAGTTTGGGCAGCAATTTGTTATGGCAAGAATTCCTTCTTTTCATATCTATCAGTACATTGTAAGAATGTCGGCACCACATCTGTAGGTTTCACCAAAATACATCGCTGTAATTTAACTGGAATACTGTTCAAAAAGGTGTTGAACCCAACTCACTCACTCATTGTATTGTGCTATATAAGAAGGGCTATTGAGATGGTATAAACAATGCAATAGGCAGAGTTGCTTCCCTTCTGTGAATATCCTTATGATAAAGAAAAAACCTGAATGTTGTTAATCAATGAAATTATGGACAAATCAGTTGTTTTTATCCTCACTTGGAGACAAATCAGTTTCAACAAAAGTTAGACAATTATTTTAGGGAATTAGCTCAAATTTAAACCTAGATCAGTCTAGCTACTTCTGTTTGCTGGAGACACATTGAGAGACTGACTTTGTTTCTTCCTCTTTCTCTCACAGGCTGTTCCCAGTCTCCAAAGGTGGAGCAGTCCCTCTTGCCTAACATAGCAGACATTGAGGTGCCTGGCGCAGTCGGAGGAAGCTTTGAAGAAACTACTTCCATCATGAATCAAATCCCCCCTTCCATGCTAGGTGAGCTTTCTGTCTGCCTGTAAGCAATAGCTTATCCATATATCTTCTTGCTGTTTGCCATGGCTTCACAGACCAGAAGTCATGAAGGTATTCCTTAATGATAGATCTATGTGGTGCTTCCAGGGGCTAAATAGAATGAAACACTTCATCAATAACCTGTATGGTCTTTCTAGAAGCCCAATAGTCCCCCAAGACTTTTATATTTCTCACTGATAAGCCCCTGTGGTGATTCTAGAAGCTCAATAGTTCCAGTACCTCATGCTTGCATTTCTCAATGATAAACCTGATTCTCAAAGCACAAAATGTCCCAGTACCCTTTGATTGTTGTATTCCTCGCTGTTAACCTGTGGTGATACTAGAAGCATAAAAGGCCCCTGTGCTCCATGCTTCTTGTATTCCTCAATGGTAAACTTGTGGTGATTCCAAGGAATACAAAAGGCCCCTGTACCCCATGTGTCTTGTATTCCTCCCTGATAAACCTGTGGTGGTTCCAAGGAACACAAAAGTCCCCTGTACCCCATGCTTGTATTCCTCCCTGATAAACTTGTGATGATTCCAAAGAACACAAAAATCATGCTCCCTGCATCTTGTATTCCTCCCTGATAAACTTGTAGTGATTCCAAGGAACACAAAAGTCCCCTGTACCCCATGCTTGTATTCCTCCCTGATAAACTTGTGATGATTCCAAAGAACACAAAAATCATGCTCCCTGCATCTTGTATTCCTCCCTGATAAACTTGTGGTGATTCCAAGAAACACAATGGGCCCCAGTACTCCCTGCATCTTGTATTCCTCAATGATAAACTTGTGGTGATTCCAAGAAACCCCTGTACCCCATGCGTCTTGCTTGTTGTATCAACCTGGTCTGATCTTCCATCTGTATTGCTGTGCTGCAGGGCTGTCGGAGTGGGACGAGGATGACATCCTGGCACAGGTGATGGCTCAGTCCCAGCAGGAGTACCTGGATAGTCTCAAGAAGCACAACACCCCAGCCAGCCAGTCCCCGATCCTTCCCCCATTGGATGACATCGCCAGCTGCAGCACGCCTGGTCTTAGTGAATCCTTCCATTACGACGACCCAAGCTAACACACGCCCACACCTGTATCATAATATAACCTATTGTTATACTCTATCTCTCTATATATACATAACACAGAAGTACTCAGTGCTGGAGTGGTGGGGACATTGGGTTTGAAACTGGGTATTCTGTTGTGTAATTTACATATTCCTTGTACCAATGTTAGGGGTTGACGTCGAACTGATGCATTTAAAACCGCAAGAGTTAACTCTGTTCTTGACTCTGTGAAAGTATCGGGGTGAAACTGCAGTGGATTCTGCTCTGTATGTGTTGTTCAACCTTAAGATTTGTGCATACATGTAAAGATGGAACTTTCTTACATGTGAGCGTTATCACACATTATATGAACTGATGCTGATGTCAGTGTCAACCAGAGCATTTGTCATAACTGAAGGCTATCTCTTTATGTTCTTTTCTGTTACGAAGGTTTTTGTCAAGGTTTTCAGGTTTTTTTCTTCAGTTATTAAGTTTGATAAATTTGCTCACCTATGATGAGATTGGATTGCAATCCTGCTCAGTTCCAGGTATACGGGGATCTCTAAGGGTCAGCAGGTTAGTGTGGGAATTGTTTGTACCCTACAAGAACAACTTAAAGTGTAATGACATGTTCCTGGCGGTGGGTAGTTCTGGCTGCTGCAGTGTTTGGAGCTTGTATTTTGGGTACTGCAGTGTTTGGAGCTTGTACTGGAAGCATGTATTCCTGATGGTTGTTTCTGAGTCCTATTGTGTTTGGAGCTTGAACTGGGAGCAGGTATTCCTGATGGTTGTTCAGAATGCTGCAGTGTTTGGAGCTTGTACTGGGAGCATGTGTCCTTGAGGGTTGTTCTGAATGCTTCAGTGTTTGGAGCTTGTGTTGGGGACATGTGTTCCTGATGGTTGTTCTGAATGCTACAGTGTTTGGAGTGTGTATCAGAGTGTGTGTTGACACAGTAGCAGTGTTTGGAGCTTGTATTTGTAGGCAAGTTGTGTGGGCCACTTGCACAAAGAAATCTAAGCGTTAAACTGTAGTAGGTCTACGTTAGATGGTTACAAAGTTAAGCTGAATTTACTTTGTTCAAGTGGGTCAAAAGAATTGGATCTGACTGCAGCAGTGTTTCGAGCTTGCATTTGGAACATTGGTTCCTGGTGGTTGGTTCAACTGCAACAGTGTATGAAGCTTACATGTCAAGCTAATTTGAAGACTGCTCAAGCTCACCTGCCCTACTCTACAACTCACGTCAGCTCTTGCAGTACAACATTCATCACACTTACCCTCTAATATATTTATGTTAAGTTAATTAACTTTATGCAATTGTTGTCTTTTTTTGTACGTTGTCAGTTAACTTTTCATGCAAATTTCTCAACATAGTTAATATAAAGTGGCAATTTCAATGACTCAGTATTTGCCCTTTTCATGAGCTGAAAAGGTACCACAACCAGCCCACATGGGAGAAAACATTGATTTGATTTACGGAAAAGGAAAAAGTGAATTTGATTGTAGAAGAGTGTGTATGGAACAGCCATGATAAACAGACATAGCTTTTTCAGCCATGTTATTTTGGCCTGAAGTCAACATCCCAAAACTGTGTTGTGAAAACCTATAAAGTACATATTCAGGGTGGTTGTGTATGTCCATAGCCAAAAGGAGTCAAAACAACTTAATGTTCGTCGACAGTCTGAATTCTAAAAGCTATGAATGTCATGTATCCATGGTTTTCAAAGCCTTAATGTTGAGGGTCTCTCATTTATTGGACACAACTATCCTGTCAGTTGGTACTTGTGTTGGTTAGAGTTTGTACATTCTTACTGTCTCAAAATAACTTTTGCAAGACATAATTTGTACTGCATAATCCAAATTTTTCAGGAATGGACAAGATCTGTAACTAGATTTGATGTGTAGAGTTTCACCAATCTGTGAGAATTGAGTTGTCCTTGAGGTCACGGGTCAGTGGTCCTTGGGGTCACCAGTCCCTGAGCATTGAGTGATCCTTAGGGCTGCTTGTCAGTGATCCTTGGAGTGACCAGCTGGAGAAAACTGAGATGTCATGTCCTTTTAGGTCACCTACAAATTAATGGGGAAGGTCATGCCACTAAATGGGTGAAATATTGTAGGAACTTATGGGTCACCCGACCGTCAGTGGGTATTGTATAACCCGTTGTATTCAACAGTCAGAGGGTATTGTATAACCCATTGTATTCACCAGTTAGTAGTCATTATATGGCCCTGGGGTCAGATGTCTATAAACAAGTGGGCAGTGGACCCTGTCCTTGGTTTGTTATATCATTCTACTTGGCTCAAGTTGAACTGCGAGGTCAGACCATCATCTGATGCTTGTGTTTAGCAGGACTCCTGTGTAAGAAATCTACACATTCATAATTGATCATTCATCCTCAGTTGTGAACAAACATGGCTACTGCTAATAATCGCCATAAAATTTTGTATTCTATGCATCCAAAAAGTGATATTGATAATTTTCTAAGAAAAACTTTTTATTATATTTTTATTTTATTTCCAAAGAAATGACTTATTGAAATAAATAAACACTGTTCGCTATACACCTTTATATATGTTGAGGTTGTTAATGTTTGTGTACAGGATATGATTGTCTGAACTTTGTTAACCACAGAACCTATTCAGAAGTGTAAGATCACATTGGTATGCTCGTATGTAGAGATGATTGTCAAAATGTTGTTTTTTTATAGAATATATTCACTACGCACACAGACAAGGTCATCTGAACTCAACTAAGGTCAAAGATCTGTTCATAATACATCCTAATCAGGAAGCTTCACGTGAACTAGAGGTAGAGGGGTGCCTAGTCGTCGAAGGTGCTGCAATTCACTGTGTAGTGTTGCATCCTTTGGGCATATCAGAAACCTAAGGTCTTTGGTTCAGATTCACCCTGATCATGTTTCTAGGTTTGTCAGCACCATACCCTTGCTTGTGGGTTTCACCGAAGTGGTAAAAATCGAAGACCTGTATGATTTTGGGAATTCCAAAGCTGACTTGCCATATTTCTGAAATACTGTTCAAAGCGACAAAAAACAACTCTCACTTACTCATCTGACCTAACAAAGGTCCTTGTCACCGTTCATCACACATTAAGAAGCTTCATCTGAACTCTCAAATGTCCTTGAACAGTTCATCACATTGTCACTCATCTTCTGAATCAATGTAGCACAGCTTACAGGCTAGCATCTCACAGCTTATTGCGCCAGAAGTTCTCCTACACCTTCTCACCTTGCAATAGCATGGAAAACTTACTGGCTGCCAGTGTGATCTTTACTTCATTGGTATCATGTCTCTTCACTGAAGAAGGTGATCATTTTGACAATGTTTGTGATGATTGTTGCTTAGTCTCTTAAACATCACTGAAATGACTTTTACCCCCAATGAAATGAAAGCATATTCCTGTCTCTTAGGATTCCGAAGGTGATGTGTGCCTCCAACATGGCCATTGTTTATCCTCTGGATCATATGTAGTGATCTATGGAGGTCATGCACACCTGGCATTAACCAATGGAATTAATGCACCAAAGCCCTTAGCCAATCGGGCAGATGCACAACAGGCATGAGTTAGTCAGTGGAGGTGGACCAGGCTTTGGCCAGTGGAGAAGAGACACAGCTGGCATTCACTAAGGCAATATCCAGTAAAAGAGATGCTCCAGGGGCATTAACCAATGAAGATGCACCATGGGCTTGAGCCAAAATGCAAAATTTTATTTCTGCTCTTGCTTAGATGATAGTTACACAAATACAAATATATGTGACATGACAAGCATGTGGGATATGACGGAGAATTTTCTTAAGGTGGGTTCTGGATGCAAAGCAGAAAATTGTTGCACACTTTGATTGGACGAAAAATGGATGTATTTCTGTGCTGCGGCAACTAGAGGAAGCATATCACAATGATTGTCTACCCTTGTTCATGGTCAAGGAGGCACAGCCGTTTAAGGTGAGGCAATTTGCTGAGCATACTTTCATCCTGAAGTAGACAAGGATCTGATGATCGTTGGTTTCAATCCCGATTTCTGACTGATTATGTTTCTACATCAGCACCGTACCCATACTTAGGGGTTTCACCATAATGGTTATTGTTGAAACCTGCACCCATCTGGGCTATCATCCCACATTAAGCATATATACAGTGATATAACTGAAATACTGAGACCAAACTCACTCACTCTTTGTGGTCATAGCTTCTGTCACTGTCACCTCAGTTCTACTTGCCTGGTCATTTGTGTGCATTGTGTGGCGGTTAATTTCTGATGGAGATGGTGGATGTGATTGTGATGAGATTGATTATAAGGTGGAATCAAACAAGTTGGACAGAAGTAGGACTCACGAGTAGGAGCAAGCAGGTTGTCTCAGCAGCCCGGGATTTCTTCGTGTCTCAAGGTTGAATAACTGTAGCAGCTAAATCACATTCTAGAAAACATTTGTCTTCATTTCAAGTGTTATGTATAATTTCTGTCAATTTTGAAGTGTTTTTCTGTAATGTTTGTATCTTATATTTATATGGAATCTAAGGATTTCCCATGAGACACATGGTACAAGTTTCTGTAAACAAAAGTCGACCATTTGCAGTAGGTGTATCTGTTTCACTTGTATGTATGGTGGGGTGTAGGTGGATTTGATTTTTAGTGTTTGATTGTAATTATAGTTGATTCATGAATGATATTTCCCGCTGAGCGAATTATCTAAGTTTCACAACTATCAAATATAAGGATATTCTCTTTTTTTCATAAAGGATTATTTTCCCAATAAACTGTGATTTTATTTCAAATGAGTGCTATGCATCAGAAAGATGATTAGTTTTAGTTTGCACACCATGCCCACAGTTCATCCTCCTTCTGATAAGACTGTAGTCGTAGACCAGCTGAAGATGTTTTACATGACTTTGTGCCTAGCCATAGTGCTATAGGTGAAATTTAAACCAAAGAATGAACACCAGACATATCCATGGAGGTGTCTGCAGGGTACCCATTCTCACCATGTTTCAAAACACAAAGCCATTCCCTTCAAGGTGCAAGATCAGGGCTGCTTTGGGTTTTTTAAAGCTATGTGTGTGTTTTACAAATTTTGATAAACATTCTACACACTAAATGTTTTAACAAATGCTTTTCACTGACAAGCATGTTTAATTTAATGTGAAATACACTTCGACATCCAGAATTATGTCGCAGTCTTGCCCAATGTTTGCATGACTGACGAAGCCCTTCTCGTATAGCCTGGTTTTCGCAGAAAATGCATAGTGTCATATTTATGATTTTCTATTTGTTTATGTGCATATTCTTACAGGAAATTATCCTTTGTCAAGGAGAAAACTTATATGATTTATATTACCTAAATTTGGAAATTGATCTTGCACCTAAAAGGATCTCTGCCATTGATGGACTAACCATATGATGGTTGACACTTGTCTGAGGAAGGGGGATGTGACTTAGGGGAGACTTGCTTTGTTTTGTTGTTATTTCCCTGTGACAATTGGCATGCAGCAGGTCAGCCAGGTGGAGTGATGGCCCCTTGCTGGAGGAGGAGCCTGGTCTATCTGTGGCCCAGGTGCCACTGCTTCCTGCCATGCTGCTGCATATGGCAGGCAGTCTCTCACTGTCTAGGTCAACATAGCCTTAGTTGCAAATAAACATTGACTTGCAAATTACCATTTCTTCTGTTGTCATTGTCGGTTGTAGATGGATTGCTTACCAGTAGGTGAGATTGCCCACCAGAAATGGGAGAGATTGTCCATGACAAATAGGTGAGATGGCCCACCGGAAATGGTTAAGATTGTCCATCACAAGTTGGTGAGATTGTCCATTTCAAGTAGGTGAGATTGCCCACCAGAAATGGGTGAGATTGTCTATTTCAAGTAGATGAGATTGCCCTCCTGAAATGGGTGAGGTTATTCATCACAAGTAGGTGAGATTGCCCACTGGATACAGGTGAGATTGCCCTCCTGAAATAGGTGAGATTGCTCACTAGAAGTGTTTTGATTTGAACATATTTTATTCCACTTAGATAGCCCTTTACATTATAAGCAATATATAATACATGTATTACAATTTAAATATGTACATACCACAGAGTACATACATAGAGAAGCAGCAGGAAACAGCTTTACAATTATTTAAATCTTTTAGTGCAGTTGATGTACTTATAGACAGTGAAACAACTGTACATTGTCGTCGAAGCTGAGATGGGAGCTTCCGTTAAACAATTACAAATAAGGCACTAGCTTGTCTTTACAAATTTCAGTTATGCAGTGAAACATATTTCTTGCAGTTTGATAAAATGGACATTCTGTTAAGTTGTGATAAACCTGTTCACACGGACTACAGATACAGTTAGAGCTGTATATTAAACCAATTCTAAAAATAAGTCTTTATTGAGAGCATGAGTAGCGTAAGTTTGTAAGCAATATATTATACTTCCTCAAACCACAGGAAAATATGAAGGCGCACATTTAGTCTGGATTTTGGTTTTGCTTTTAAAGAGCTTAGAGAACTGGAGTCTCTAAATGACGGGCAAATCATTCCATATTGTTATAGCAGACGGAAAAAATGACCGACCAAATAATTGTTTTCAACTGAATGGTATTGATATATTTCGTGCATTTCATAGCTTGTACACAGATAATTCATCAACAGTATTTGGTAAAAGTTCACACAAGTAAGAGGGGTTACATAGTTAATTTTATTAAACAAGCAAAGCTTGTGATCATTCTTCTTTCTGCAAGTGTATTCCAAACCCTTTCAACCAGGAGTGGGGGAGATTGCCTACCACAAGTAGGTGAGATTGTCCTTCACAAGGAAGAGGGACTGCCCACTGGAAAGGTGAGATTGCCTACCAGACGTATGTGAGATTGCCAACCGAAAATAGGTTAGATTGCCTACCAGAAATTGGTGAGATTGCCCAGTAGACGTATGTGGTATTGTCCACCTGAAATAGGGGAGACTGCCTACAAGAAGTAGGTGGGGCTGCCTCCTAGAAGTATAACTGGCAGATGGGGGCTAGTGTCTGAGTGAATATCTTTCAATGCAGTCGGCAGTATTCAGGCTTCGTCGGGGCAGTGACAGAGTTAGTGAGTACGCCGCTTCTAGCAATATTCCAGCAATATCACTGTAGGGGACATAAAATTTGCTCATTTAAATATTGTGGACTATTAATGAGCAAGGCCGTAGTTGTCCCCAACTTGATTCAAATAAAACTGTTTTCTATAAAAACAAACAAACAAGCAAACTGATGACATCGGATTGGTCATTTGGAGAAAACTAGGTTCAACACGCTAAGTAGTCCCAGTATGTGCGTATTTGCCTTGTCATCCTACGTTCGTTTGATTGGCCGCAGAACTCAATCTTCTGCAACACATTCAGAAATCCGAACACTGAAACTTCGTTGCGACCAGCAATTAAGTGATTATGACAGGCCACACGGGTGGTAGCCACAATGTAGGCTGCGTTCCACAAAGCGATCTTTGGGCTAAGTCGACAGTAGCTCCTGTACTAACACAAGCTAACGATTGCCAACGAAGATTGATTTACGATTTTATCCCCGATTCGTAGAATCCTTATCTTGGCTGTCCAAAGAGTTACCCAAACCTGCTCTATGACGTCATCGTTAGAGTCGAAATGGGATACGGCCAGGGCCTTCGTCCTGTTGGAGTGAGTGAGTGAGTTGGGTTTAACGCCGCATTGAACAGTATTTCAGTAAAATCATGGTGTGTCAGCTTAATGTGTGAGGAATGTCCGAAGTGATTCAGGTCTCAGACGTTTGCCACTTGAAACAGGGATTCGAAGCCACGATCATAGGTTCCTGGCGTGCGTAAGGGCCGCAACTCCTTACTGCGAATTTGGCCCATTCCTCTATCTCATTGTAGTGAGGGAGCGAGTGAGTATGGGTTTACATCGCTTTTAGCAATATTACGACGGGGGACACCAGAAATGGGCTTCACACATTGTACCCATGTCGGGAATCGAACCCGGGTCTTGGGCGTGATGAGCAAATGCTTTAACCACTAGGCAACCCGACATGGGTACAATGTGTGAAGTTCATTTCTTGTGTCCCCCACCTGATATTGCTGGAATATTTCTTAAAGCGGTGTAAAATCAAACTCACTCACTCACTTTATTAATAAAACAGAGACTGATACCAGTCTTCTGCAGGCATAGGTACCGAGAGGACATTTGGACTTAATGACCACAGCTTGACCGGATACCTTGAACAGAACGTGCTCCCAATGTGACGTCACACAGACGATAATTCCACTGAAAACTTGAAGCGCTCGCCCGTCAACAGCTGAACGCACGGCATGCCACGCGGGCGGCACGTATTGCACGTGCATGACACCCGACGGAATGTCGGTCTTATTATACACTAGTGACATGACTACATCTGAAGTTGTGGCGGCAAGGTTTGGTTGGATACTGAGCACGAAAACTTGATGGATATTTCAGTACCTGGTCGCTGGTTACAGATATATATTACATAGAAAGTATTTGCTGTTACCGCTGTCTCAGGTATGTATGTAATCGTGTTTAGCAATACATAAGATTTGTGTGACTGGAAAATCAGCAGAAATATTGCCCCCACATCACTTTTCGTAAAGTTCTATCAGGAAGCGTATAGGAAGCACTTTTCGGAAATCATTTTGTTTGAATTTTAGCAGCAAGAAGCAGTCCTTCAAAACATTTATAATGGCGTCGGTTCACCCCTCTATATACACAGGTGTGATTTTTTTTTCTATACGAATATTACGCTAACCACGCTATCATCGAGTTCCTGCGAGTAGGTTTGGTAGCCTTGCGGCAAAGACAGTGACCAAGTTTTATTTCCCAACAGGAGCGCAACTTGTGTTCTTGTTGCCCCTTTACATGATATTGATTGAATATTGCTAAAAGCGTCGTAAAATCATACCCACTGACTAATAATTGCGATGCAAAACATTTGGAAATCAAGGAAGTTTTGCTCGTGTTTGACATGTCAAATCGAGATTTGGGATCATATTGGTCACACTTTACATTCAGTTCGTGTGTTTTCCATTGCGCTAAGTCGAAAGGCACGTTTTTTTTCAAATTTGGGTTTGAGAAATCTAGTTATTCATTAAAAAACGTATTCATTCGCAGTGAAATTATAGAAAGTTTTTCGGGATACAATCCCTTTTAACGAAGTTTGTCAATTAAGTATGAATCAGATTACAGCATGCACTCCCATTGATCTTACATATACAACTCAGATATGTATGTATTCCTTTTCAGTTGCCTTAAGCCCTGCAATTCACTGTGCAGAGTTGCGTCCCTTGGGCACGCCAGACCCCTATTGGTCGTGGTTTAAAATCCCTCTATCAAGGTTTGTCAGCACCCTACCCGTGCTCCTGGGTTTCACCAAAGTGGTAAACATCAAATATCTGCATCACTTAGGCTCTCCTCCCACGTCAAGCTGACACGCCGTGATATAACTGGAAAACAGTTAAAAGCGGTGTCAAACCAAAATCATTCACTCATTGATAGACAATTATTATCAGGATCAGGAGATTAAAAATGTGATCTGGTAGGGTTTGTGTCATCCCGCAGAAACCTACGAGGGGTGTTCATTAAAGATTTCCCCTAAACCACTTAGGGTTATCATATTTGGTTGAAATTTCACATGTGTAATGATACATGTATCTATGGGTTATGTCTGAATTTGCAGCACCGAACTATTAATCCCACCACTTTTACAGGTGTTATGATCGAGTAGGGTGTGACAATGAAGCCAGTAGAATACCGAGCAGTGATAAGGTTTTTATATTTGAAAGGTCGCACACCAAAAGAAACTTTCAATGAAATGAAAGCAACTTATGGGGAAGATGCCCCATCATATGACGTTGTTAAACACTGGTATCGCCAGTTCAAGTGTGGTCGGTCATCTGTGGAAACAGCTGCCATTCCTGGTCGCCCCCATTCAGCCATTGATGAGGACACTATCCATCAAGTTGAGACCGCCATTTTGGCAGACCGACGTATAACTGTTCGCCAGTTAGCACAAGATGTCAAGATCAGTGTAGGGTCCGTGGAAAAATCATCTATGACAGTTTGAACATGCATAAGGTGTCTGCACGATGGATTCCCAGGTTGCTCACACCTTTCCAAAAGCAGGAACGAGTCAATTGCTCAAAGGATCTTTTGGACATGTGCCAAAACAGACTTATCACACAGGATGAAACATGGGTCCATCACTATGATCCTGAGACTAAAGTTCAGTCGATGCAATGGAAGCATGTGGAGTCACCACCCCCAAAGAAGGCACGTGTCCAACCCTCTGCAGGCAAGGTCATGCTCACGGTGTTTTGGGACCAGCACGGAGTAGTGATGATGGATTTCTTGGCAAAGGGTACCACAATTACAGGAGCTTATTATGCTTCACTGCTGCGGAAATTGCGGGACGCTTTCAAGCTTAAGAGGCGTGGCATGCTGACCAAGGGTGTCCGTCTCCTGCAAGACAATGCTCCAGTACACAACTCTCATGTTGCCCAGACAGAAGCGCGGTCCTGTGGCTATGAAATCCTTCCACATCCTCCTCACTCTCCTGACCTTGCACCATCTGACTTCCACCTCTTTCCAAACATGAAGTCATTTTTGAAGGGAAAACGTTTCACAGATGATGAAATACTGATGTCTGAAGTCA